CGGTATCGAGTCAGCTCAAGTTCCCGTCTATATTGCCGAAATATCGCCTCCCTCTAAGCGTGGCCGCTTCATCGGCATGCAGCAGTGGGCTATTACTTGGGGTATCCTCATCATGTACTACATTTCATATGGGACTTCATTTATCGGTGAGCAGGAGTACTTTGGCTGGAAGGCTTCGTCTTTCCGTATTCCATGGGGCCTGCAGATGATTCCTGCCGTCTTCCTCTTTTTCATGATGATGATTTTACCCGAATCACCCCGTTGGCTGGCCCGCAAGGACCGCTGGGAGGACTGCCGTTCTGTGCTGGCTCTAGTGCATGGAAAGGGGGATCCCGACCACCCTTTCGTTGCCATGGAACTTCAGGATATCAAAGACATGTGCGAGTTTGAGCGTCGTCACTCCAATGTCACTTACTTTGATCTTTTCAAGCCCGATATGATTAATCGAACTCTGATCGGCTTGTTCACACAGATTTGGTCGCAGTTGACCGGCATGAACGTCATGAGTAAGTACAAGTGGTTTTTGTTGCATAGCAATCGGTACATGAGCTTTGCGATTAACTCATCCTTCACAGTGTACTATATTGCCAATGTTTTCAGCATGGCCGGATACGAGGGCAATGCCAACCTTCTTGCATCATCCATCAGCTACGTCATTAACGTCTTCATGACTATCCCTGCTCTCCTATGGGTCGATCGCTGGGGCCGTCGTCCTACCCTCTTGGTCGGCTCCGTCCTCATGGCGACCTGGATGTATGCCAATGCTGGTATTCTGGCCAACTACGCCGAGGTTGTTCCCGGCGGCATCAACGGTGTTGCAGCCCAGTCCATGAGACTCACCGGTGCTCCTGCTAAGGGTCTCATTGCCTGCACCTACCTCTTCGTCGCTTCCTTTGCTCCCACCTGGGGCCCTGTCTCTTGGATCTACCCGCCCGAGCTGTACCCTCTGCGACTCCGTGGCAAGGGCGTAGCCATGTCAACTTCAGGAAACTGGGCTTTCAACACTGCCCTCGGCCTCTTCGTCCCTCCTGCTCTTGCAAACATCAAGTGGAAGACATATCTCATTTTTGCCATCTTCAACACGGTAGCATTCTTCCACGTCCTCTTTGTCTTCCCCGAGACTGCTGGAAAGACTTTGGAAGAGACCGAGGCAATGTTTGAAGACCCCAACGGTATCAAGTATATAGGTACCCCGGCGTGGAAGACCAAGGTCGTCACCAAGTTGGTCGACCGCGCTGAGCATGGTGACGTTGAAGCCAAGCGAGCCGTGGAATACAAGCTCTCTGATGCTCACGAGCACGACGTGGAGAAGGCCGCCACACCTCCAGCGGCTGCTTAATTGCGATGCCTCGAGTAGATTAATTCAAATCGCGTGTTGCCTCAATCGATCTGTCACCAAACACCACCAAGACTCTAGTGTGTTATCCCCATTCAATCGAGGGCCTCTGAATGACAAGATATGTGATAGTTTATATGGGACGGTCTTTTCTGATTGATTTTATGATGTTGAATGATACCAATTTAGGCAGTTTTCTTTGTACAGATGTTCTTTGTACAGATGTCGTAAATAATATTGCCGCCTGTGCCATGAAGTTGAGACAGGTACTTGTGATTTTCAATTCTGTGAGCATTAGTACTGCCCCCTGCTTTGAATGGGCGACTGACTGGCTACACCTCAAGCTGAGTGACACGCTGAACACACGAGCTCGTTTCTATTGCTGTTATATCACAATGCTGGGAGTCCGACGGTCAAGGAGGAATGTGAATATATTGATCCACGGGAACGGCCGGCGAGTCTTCGCAAGTATGCAATGAGGTCAAAGACCGCGCAACGTCCCTGTGTTAACCAAAATACAAATCCCTTGAAAAAAAAAATCCCGACGCTATTCAATGCACGCCTAGGGCGGGTGAACATGAGTACGAGTACTTTCAAATCTCGCCTCGATGCTGTGTCCCCGACTGTCTTTACTGGCGTTTGCCCGGAACTGCCCCCGCTCGGGTTTTGTTTCGGCCTAGACGGACAAAGGCATTCAGTGATGAGAATCTGACTGGAGTTAAATAATAAATTGGGGGTGTGAGTATTGATATATAGCTTCGTCGACGACCTTGAGGGCCAGGGTCAAACTCCGACGCCGCGTAGATGCAAACTATTTTGATGGTGCATTTTACACAAAAGTCACGGAACTGATTTTAAAATTGGACTTCATGAACCCTTGAAATGATTAATGATGAACAGTGATTTAAAAGTGTGAGGTTCCACGCTGATGCTAGGGGATGGAATGGCCACGAGGTTAGTAAAATACAACATTCCAAGTCCAGTCACACTTGATTCGATTAAAAAGAAAATATTCAAAGCCAAGTCACCGCTACTCAGCTCGTATGACAACATGCTGTGAGGCCGAAGTCAAAGAAAGCACTCGATTGAGCTTGAACTCATCCTTGAAGCCGCCAATCAAAAGCCCGCCATTATTCGACTCAACCACGCCGCTAGTGGCAAACGAATCCTTTATGCAGTAAATGTACGCCTCTGCAACCTCCTCTGGTGTGGCCACTGTCCCTGCGATACTCTCACGCTGCTGGCAGATTCTCCGCTGGGGTGCTGCTGAACAATTCCGTGTGCACCGCACCAGGCTGCACGGCGCTGACACGAACCGGCTTCGGAGCGGCTGCGAATCCGCGAGCAAGACCATCTATACCTGTCCCGATTCCAGCCGCAATATAGCCATCACCTTGCTCACATGCGACTCGTGAGTGTCCTCGATTCCGTTGACTCGGCGCCGGGTGGAGATGTAGGCGGCGAGCGGCCCGCTAGCGTCGCCGATAAATCCGCCGTTGACCTTTCCTCTTTTGGGTACAACCGGAGTTTGCGGGTTCCGGAAACGACGGAGTACAAGGTGTCGCCAGCCGGGCTGTTGCCGAGTCCTTTTGGGGGAGAGCTTGTGCAACAACGGACTCAATGCTACAATTGGAGAGCCAACCACAGTTTTTCTGCCCACGATTGGCCTTGCATTGGTGTTGCAGCAGGTCGGCGGCATGCCAAGTCGTCGACTGCATCGAGTCCACCGAGTCCGTCGAGTCCCACAGTCCGACAAGGCGGCCACGTGAGCACACGAGGAGTTCCCAGCCACCCCGACGCGCCTCGGGTGTCTTGGTTTCACGCACAGCCCAACAAAGCCAACCATTCACAGAAATGTGAATGCAGGTCGTTTCGGCGGCCTCGTGGCTGCGTCCTGAGCTGTGGTCCACCACCGTCTGAAGCCTTTTCTGGCGGCCAAGGCCTCATTCACGAGTGTCCCTCCAGCTTTGCCCTCATCACACCTCATGGCCCAGCGTCATGCCGTTCGTCGCCAACACGCCCGAATCGCTTCTCGACCGTGCCGACTCCAAAAACCCAAACTCCACATGTCGCGGCATAACCTCGAGCGGCAGGCCGTGCAGACGGCCCATCAGCCAGTCATCCGCCGGGATTTGGCTAGCCCCTGGAAATCGAGGCCTGAGAGTCGATCTCAGCGATGAGAGTCTGTATTGCTGGCAACATAAGGAACAGGCCACTCACAGTGCAGGATCCAGCCCCGGGCCCCGAAGGAGTACGAAGCCTATCCTGGAAGCACGCTCGAGTTTAGATACCCTCGCGGACCGCCTGGGAGTCGTGGAACTCGGAGAAAAGAACACCCACAAGCACAGTAGGGACCATGGGAGGCCGCCAAACCTGCCAACCAAAGCGTCAAGGTCGAGGACGCCGCCAAAACTCCAGTTTTGCTTCTGCTTCTCTATTCCGCTAGAGGAAGTAAACGAGCCCGCGCGACCGAAACCACGGCCGCAGCTGGAACCTATCCAAAAACCGGCCTCTGCCTCTATGCCTAATTTGCCAAGCAGACACCACCATAACAGCAAAACGGGCAGCCAGCAGCGAATCGCGACACCCAGCACCTCTCCGGGCAAAGCATCCCATCGATCTGGTCGATCCGCCGTCTCACAAACCGCACGGTTCAAGGACCTAATTCCAGACTCACTGGACATGGCGACGGCGTCGACACTCATGACTGAACTTGCCAAGCCGCACGCCGACTCGGAAGAAGCCGGCTACATATACATGTTTTGGCTGACGCCCACATCCAAACAGTCGCCGCCGCCCGTCGACGCCGCCCGGTCACTGCTGGTTCCGCCGTCTACGTCGTCTTCGGCGCGCTCACGCCGACCAAGCGACATTGTGTCCACCTTTGCAGACCCCAGCGGCAAGGGGGACAAGAAGACGATGCTGCTCAAAATAGGGCGTGCGGCCAACGTGCAGCGGAGGATGAATCAGTGGCAGCGGCAGTGCGGGTACGACATTGAGATGCTGCGGTATTACCCTTACGTGGCTGCTGTAAACGACAGCCCTGGGACGAGCCGCACGCCCCGGATGACGCCTCACTGTCGCCGTGTCGAGCGCCTGGTTCACATCGAGTTGGCGGGCATGGGGTTGCGCGCAGACATGTCGACATGTGACGCCTGCGGGAGGGAGCATCGAGAGTGGTTTGAGGTGAGGGCTACGCGGGAGGGGATTCGAAAGGTGGACGATGTGATTCGGCGATGGGTTGACTGGGATGAAGCGAGCTTGGATTGACGTGTTTAGTTGCTACGAGGGGCGCACATGGCATAGCATATGTATATGGAGTTGTACTTGTTTTGAATGCATGGCATTGCATCGACATGGGAGCACGTAACATTACCAATGGAAGAAGCGCATTTTTGTCTGGACGCGTTTGGAATGGCTATATTGGATTGCTGCTTGTGAGATATAGTCCATGTGCATGTTTAAATGGATACTTGAAGGTGTTGCGGCCGAATGACTCACCGCGGCGTGGAGTTTGCGGACCTCGGGAGATGACGAAGAGACTCAATGTCCGTGATAAGATGCGCCCGAGCTGTCTGTTTGGAATTTCAACAGCCGCGCTGTTCAAGGACACGCATTGGTCAATAAAACTAAACTTGGATACAGCCAGAGCATCAAGATTATAATGTCTCTGCAACAAGGCACGTCTTTACACCGCGTCTCATCCAAAGACATCCCCACTCTCGTCGACATCCATTACGAGGCCTTTGCGGACGATGCTCTGATGAAATTCATGTATGGATCTCACGGCGATGCGGCATCCGCCGTGAGCGATTTGCGGGAGGCTCTCGAGGACCCAACAGCCAGGTTCACCAAGGCAGTTGACAATGAAACAGGCGATATTGTCGGCTGGTCATGGTGGAACGTCTACCTCGACGCCGAGACTCACCTAGAAGCGGCAAAGACTACTGAGGAGGAGCAGAAGGAAGCTCCCAAAACTGCGATAAGCCCAGAGACATTCCTGCAATACCATGCTGCCGTAAACGATAGGAGGAGGAGATGGATTACCGGGAAGCCAGGGAGTAGCAAGTGGTCCCCCTCCTCCATGCCGTACTTGATCTCGTTTAACCTGTCTATCTAGTTCTCCAGGCGATTGCAGTGCGTCCGAAATCGCAGGGCAGAGGCGTAGGAACGGCCCTTGTCAGGGCCGGACTTGAAGAAGCCAAACGCAACGGGGTGTTGGCATGGCTGGAGGCCTCGTCTGCTGGGCATGGCTTGTATGAGAAGTGCGGGTTTCGAGATGTTGGAGAGGCCATCGAATCGGACTTGGGGGCGTATGGGAAAGTGACGACGGTTTGCATGATGTATGAGCCATAATGCACGATCCCGGGCGAGGCGTATAGCGTTTGGATGAGTTGAATGTGCATGCCAGCCGTTTGCTGGGAGAATTCTGTCACGACTTCAACTCCCCAAGAGTCAAGTACTAGGGAGGACTTGCCCTGCATGCTGCATGTATAAATTGACCAGACCAGTTGACCTGACATGGACCCTAGATCGCCTGCCAATCAGTGCTGCTTGCCCACACGTGACTATTCTCGCTTGTGTTCCAGCACTCTGAGACGTAACAGCCGTGTTATGCCATTTCCCACGTGCAATCACTATCAAACTGACGTATCGAATTACCACCGGCGTACCCTAGGGTTCGCCAGTTACCATCAATGCCTTTTGCCCGGCTGCGATGGCCACTGATTCCTGGGCTATTGGCCTCGTGAGTCGTGCCGCTGGACGCTGACAGTCATGCCGCGACTCATGCGGACGGTCCCACCACCACTCCCAGGCTCCCACATTCCGAGCATCCTCATTTGTCCCGTCAGCCGGCTCAGCCCGTCTTTTTGCCAGACATTCGAGGCAAAATGGATGGCTCATTTTGAGATGTCGTTTATATACCCAACTCGCTGCCTGATTCCTGGTTTCAGGAGTCCTCATCCCGCGCCATGAAGCCCCCAACTCGGCAGGCACCGATACCTTGTGAATCCGTCACGGAGGCAGCAGACCAATAGCGAATTGGGCCCCATTCACAACATGGGCGAGTTCGCTGCGCCGGCGGCATATGAGGTCCTGACGACTTCTATGCAGAGGGACAGACTATTCAATGTCGACCTCGATAGTGGCTTGGGTCGGAAACCAACCCCAGTGCCTGCTCACCTGTCAAGGGTCTTGTACGTGCCGAGGCACAGCATGCTGAATCTGTCGCTGTTTGATGCTGGATTGCAGTACAGACAGGCCATTGACTATTCGCCCGTCGGGGGAGAACAGGTGACGGGCAAGGCGCTGATGGGCAGTCGTCTCTTTAAGACGAGGATAAATACCATGGCATGTCCTGTTGGGCATGGGGGTGCCCAGGCGGCGTATGTTGTTGCTCTTGATATCGAAAAGATTAGAGACGGAGGCGATATCTCTGCCACGGTGCACAAGGAGGGTCAGGCGGACCCAATACCTCGCGTCAACATGTCAGTATCGTCATGGCTCCACGGTTTGCAAGTGTCGTTGCTGACCGGACTCGCGTAGCATTCTACCCATGTTGACAGATGTTTTCAGCCTGCTATCCGTCACAAGCGACCAGCACTCAGGCATGATCAATATATCGACTACATACCCACTGCCCCGTCTCAGGAGCATGGTCGGTGTTCTTCACTTCCCGTACTCTAGGTTCTCAATACCCAATGCAGCTTCTGTCTACGAATGGCAAATCCACCCTCTGGATCACGGCACACTGCGATATACTTTGGTGGAACTGGACGGCGAGACATGCCAAGTGCAGGCCGATTCTGGACCACAAGACTCAAACATCAAGGCAATTTACCACCATATTGGCTATCATGGATCCCTCTTTTTACCACATAGCGAGGGTGTTTTACTTCTGCCAGAAGTAGTCAACGAGCGTGACGGCTGGTTGGAATTGGTCATTGTTTCCAGTCTCATCGGCTTGCTGTGGAGGATACGAGGGATGGAAATCAAGGATGCCGAGCCACAGGCGGCCAGCGTGAAGAAGAGGCCGTCACTTATGAAGAGGATATTTGGGAGGAAGCAATAGCGATTATTTTTCTTGTTATCAAGCATACCCTCATATGATGGTAGTACTTGCTATACTGCCAAATCTAACACATCATTACTCTTGGAGACGTCGAATTTTCTTTCACTCTCTGGGCAGGCAACTTTCTCATACCCACGACATCAGCCCCATTGACCCGAAAACCAGCCTCAATGCCGTATCCAATGTTAGCGTCTGCTACAGTGACGGCTGCTCAAGAAAATTGAATCCCACGATCCCCTCAGCAATCACCACTTCGGGCCCCGATTCCGACCTCGACGACACCGACACCCGTCTTCCTATTATACCACCGTTTCCGACTTCTAATGAAAGCGGCGAGCTAAGCGGGAATTCGACATAGTTGTTTGACAGCCGCGCCGCCGGGAACACAAATTGTCGAAAGAGACCACAGTCATGGGCGCTCTTGGTCATGTCGCCGCTTGAGCTTTACATCCCGTTAGACTTGTTCGCTTGTTTTCCCCCATTCTCATTGCGTCTATTGTAGAAAGAATACATACTGGATGACGACGCGGAGCTTATCCACGTCCGCCAGACGGCACGCTTCGGCGGGCGTGAGTCTCGCATGAGTGGCTTCTGTACTTCCAGGCTGGCCAGGTGTGTGGAAAGCCAGGTCTCCTTGAGTAAAGCAGCTTGACGGGACATCATGTCCATTTTTCGGCGCACTGAGGGCGGCCAGCGCACCTCCTCGAGGTCGGTTTGTGACTTCTGGACCGCACATTGTTGGCACAGAAGGGCTCCTCTCCTACGAACTCCCACATCAACAACACGGCGCGGATAATGGAGGAAAACGCAGCTTGAAATACATGGCTGGAAACAAGGCCTTATTGCCTCTTGAAACAAAGCCACATGCTCATTCTCGCTCAGCTCATTTACGACGTTTCTTATTCTTTGAGCCATCCAGGTGCACATGGACAAAGCAGCCATGCCGGACCCACGAGCCAATCACAACCTCTGGCGCGTCAGCCCGTCTTCCTGTTGCGGTAATCGTCATGAGCAAGTTTGCGCGGAAATGCTCCGGAATCACGCCAAGCGCCTCTCACCATTCAAATTTCAGAGAAAGGGACATGATGAAATTGCTGACATATCAGCGTTGCAGATGAAGGGCTTGGCTTGTCCGTTTCGTGCGACGACCCCTCCTCCGAGTCGAGTATGGGTTGGTGATGCCCAATGCCAATCATGGTCCGCTGCCTCGCCGGTATGGCGTTCGAGACGCAAGGTTGTGATCACACATCATCGGCTCCCAAGGCTGCTATTGCCTTACGTTGCCCCCCTCTCTGCTTCTCCATTTATTGCGATTCCTGACGGTTCTGCGACCCTCTCTTGACTCTCTTTCCCAGCTATCCTCCCATCTAGCAACACCTCTACATCAGAATCCAAATCACAAAGCACCAACCGCAACCATGTCTGTCGGGACTTACAGCCTCCCCAAGCTCCCCTATGCTTACAATGTACGTCTCCTTCAATCCATCAAGGTCATGGATTCTGTATGCCTAACCCCTCTATTTCTCGCAGGCATTGGAGCCCAGCATCTCGGCGCAAATCATGGAACTCCACCACAGCAAACACCACCAGACATACGTGACGAACCTAAATAACGCTCTCAAAACCTACGCAACGGCCACCTCGTCCAACGACATTGCCGGCCAGATCGCCCTCCAGAACGCCATCAAGTTCAACGGCGGCGGACACATCAACCACTCCTTGTTCTGGGACAACCTGACCCCGGCTAGCTCGGCCGAGGCCAACCCCCAGAGCGCAGCAACCCTGATGGCTTCCATCACCAAGACGTGGGGTAGCTTTGACGAGTTCAAAGCCGCCTTTACAAAGGCTCTCCTGGGCTTGCAGGGCAGTGGATGGGGCTGGCTGGTCAAGGACGGCGGCAGCCTGCGGATCGTGACTACCAAGGACCAGGACCCGGTCGTAGGCGGAGAGGTGCCCATTTTTGGGGTCGACATGTGGGAGCATGCCTATTACCTACAGGTACGTTAGCGTCCCAATCACTGATTACCATGAGCGGTGTTGCTGACGCTGTCTTGCGTTGGTAGTACTTGAATGGCAAGGCGGCGTACATTGAAAACATCTGGAAGGTCATCAACTGGAAGACGGCCGAGACTCGGTTCAACGGAGGACGCGATGATGTGTTCAAAGTCCTCAAAGCCGCCATTTAGTGTTGCGTATGCCTCCTGGTGGAAAGCCATTGTTGCCTAGTGGCAAACTGGTAGACGGCGTCAGTTGGCATCCCATCTAGCGGTGTGATGGCGACGGCTCGCTTCCGGGTAAAACATGAGTCAAATGATGGCAATATATGAGTCCAATGTCTAAGTTTCTTGTTCAACGACTGCTGTGAAAAACAGCGCCCATGGCCGTGAGCGTTGGTAGAGGCGGTGACGACGCCCTTGCTAGATTCAGCGCAACCAGCATGCCTGTGATACCTGGGCCACGCGCACTATGGTTGCACATATCGTATATCTGCTACGGCGCCATGGTCCCTTGTTCCTGAATAATTTCCGGAAAAGGGGACAACGTAAGCTGCCGACGTATGCGTGTCCAAGTCTCTTTGCACTCCTCTTTGCGGGCGGCACAGCTTCGTGTCTGCCGTGATTCGTGTCGCTCAGCATAGAGTACATTCCCTGTTCTGGCCATGAAGCCTTTGTTTTTGGCACGGGGGCGGGCCGCCGCAGACAATGATGGGCTCATCTCTACAGTCCTGCAACGTCAGAGATGCAGGATTGTCAGATGCTGCCAAACCACTGCGCATCATGGTACAACCCGCCATCGTGTCCAGAGTATTACAAGAGGCAGTCCACGAATGCGAATCACTTGTGTCCCCGGAACACAACACTCTGAACGGTGTAGGGATCATCCAGCCGCCGGGCCGAAATGGCCTCGGATAGAGGCACCAACGTAATTTTACTCCCAAGTCCATGCGGGTGAGCTGTAGTCTGTAGATGGGCTCAAAGTACTGATATTTGACGACAGGGCAAAGACGTATAAAGACGTCGAGGCCGAAGCCAGCTGGGTTGAGGGGAATTGCATTCAGCAGAAGCTTGTCACGTTAACCCAAGCCAGCTTTTGTTTCTCTCACTCCCTACAACATGTTCAAGATGAAAGCTGTTGACGTGCTCGCATTGGGACTCTGGTATATCCCACCATCGAGATTCAACATGACCACCTAGGTCTATATACTGACTCTCCCAGTGCCGCGCTGACCATGGCAACTGTTCCCATCACGGTCACAACGACAGTGACGGAATGCGCTGCCTCATGCTATTCCACTGGCTACGCGACTACCGGCATTCCTGCGTACTCGACACCGCCCCCCTGGTACATGACCCCGGATCCGGTGAAATCGCCCGACTCACCCGTGACGACTGGTTACGGACCGTCCGCGCAGGATCCAAACGCTTCATCCACCAAAGACTCGAGCTCGTCCTCGGGAGGCAGCACTTCGAATGTATATTCTCCCACGCCCCAGCCGTATTCGGAGACTACGCCTCCCTCCTATGACGGCACGGAAACTCCGACGTACCAAAGCCCATCTGGGACCGCGAGCTCAACCTATACACAGGAATCCCCGACACCATCCGCGCCGAGCACTCCGTCAAGCTACGTATATCCATCGCCGTCGTCCGAGTCCAGCGCCGAGGCTACGGAAACGTCTCTGCAAACCACCACGCCCACTACGTTAGCCACCAGTACTAGGGAACGAGGCAGCAGCAGCAACGCAAGCGGTACACGAGGTCCGCCTCCAGTGTATGAAACACCCACCGACGAGCCACCTTCTTATGATGATCCTCCCTCCTACACTGATCCTCCTTCGTATGGAGAGGCGGGGCTTTAGGGCTGTTGCAACCTCTGCGACGCCTGGCACTCATCAGTGATGCAGAGCACGGGACAACGTACAACAAGGCAACGCGCGTCCTATATTTTCAGCCGGAGAAAAAAAAGCTTGACAAGTCCTTTATTTAGTCCATCATGATCACAGATCCATGATTCTATAGTCTATCGTTAAATAAGAAACAGTTCAACCTTTTCTCATCGATATCCGGGGTATTACTTTATGCCTCTATGAACCCTTTGAAAGGCAAACAACCGCCCACTTCCCGTGCCAAGCCCATCGTCTGGCGCCAGTATCACCACCGCCACCTTCAGTGGCCCTCAATTCTTCGTCTTTGCCAGCCGGAAGGCCAACAACAACATCAGCCTTGCAGGTTCGCAGAGAAAGGACGTTGATCCCGGATCCAGGGCCCATGGGGCCGAGGGCGGTGGTCCACGGGGTAGTGGGATCCCAGTGAGCCTGCAAGTTCCAGTTAGCTTCTGCCAAAAAAGAAGAAAAAAAACATGTTAACATGTCTATAGAAGAGGGGAGGGGACGTACATCGCCGGTGAGCTTTCGGTAGTTCAGGTCACCCTTGAAGATGGTGAGCTCGGCACGCTTCATGTCCTCATGAAGGTCATGAGCCTCTGCAGGCAGGCGCCAGAAGCTGCCACCAGCAGTCCAGTAGCGGTTAGGGCGCAAGATGATCTGGTCCTCCTTGAAGAGCTTAGTCCACTCCTGGGCGACAAAGAGGAGGTCCTCGGCCTCCTTGTCAGCCAAAGGAGCCGGGGTTTTGTCTTGCGCCTTCTCCTCGTCGGACTGAGTCTCGAAGAACTTTCTGGGTTCGGCAATGGCGTTCAGGAGAAGGCAGTAGTCGCCAGGCAGGACATCAGACACAAACCAGGGGATTGACTTGGGATGGAGAATGATGTGGGTGGCCAGGCCAGAGGTAAGGAGGAATCCGGCCAGGACGAGGTCAACGTACAGCTCGAAGCCCGAGTTGTCGAGGACAAAATCAACACGGCGCTCCTTCTTGCCTTCATCGCGGGCCTTCTTGAGGATAGCGTAAGCCTCGGGGAGGTGGTTGATCAGAATGTTCTTCTCTGCCGCCTTGCGAGCCTGGCTTCCCTGAAGCTTCTGGATGTCCTCATAGGTGAGGTTGGTGAGCAGAGATAGGTCGGTTGCGTTGCCCCAGAGGCAGATCTCGAACATTTCGGTGAAGAGAAGCTTCTCGGCCTCCTCGTCATGAGTTGCATCTTTGTTAGAGCGAAGCTCCGTGACAAACTCCTTGTATCGGGAAGCTAGCTCAACAACTGCATTGCGAGAGGTACGGAACGTGTCCATCTTCTGGCGGGAAAAGATGTCATAGTTCTTCCAGTGCTTGGAGAGACTGAAAAAGGTGCTGATGCGTCTGTTGGGCACGGAATTTAGCATCGAGACGTCCTGAGTAGTCGTATTCGAAAAACTCCCACGCACCTGTACATGTAGCACTCGGAGAACAGCCACGGGACGTCCAACCATGTAGGCTCGCCCAACTGCTCAATCTCTTTGTTGTAGCGAGCAATCTCGTCGGGGTAGCCATCGTCGACAATGGGGCTGTAGCAGTGTGATTAGCCCAGATTCTCCTCCTGGCATGGTAAGAATTCGTTGCAGTACGCACGTAAGCTTGTAGTCGTGAAGAACGCCGTATTTCAGATCGACCAGCCGCTGAATAATCTTATTGCCTTCAGCGTGCTTCTCGGGGTCGGCGGAATGGGCGGCGCGGTAGACGTCGTCAATGGCGCCAGTCTACATGGACGGAGCTGTCAGCACTCTCCTCTTTCACTGTAGCCATACTCGATGGAAAGTGCATACCAGGATAACCGGCCAGCGGTTTCGCACAGAGTCGTGGGCAAACGACGTCGGGTCGCTGGTGACGGATTTGGCTGGGATTGCGCATGTCAGTTAGGCTCTGGCCAGGTGGTCGGATGCACGAGTTCGTACGGGTCTTTGTATCGTATTCCATCTTGATCTACTTATTCAAAAAAAAAATAAAAAAAAAATAAACCATGCGTGTACCTGCAAATGCGTATAGGAGAGAAATGTATAACAAAAAGATGGCAGGGCCAGAGTGACGGCGATGGCGAGGGGCAATATTGATGGCTGGAGATAGATCACTTATTCGCGGGGCCAATTTTTAGTCCATGGAGGGGCAACAGCGGCGCATCAAGACGCCAAAAAACAACTCGAGCGGGTCTGCCGAAGAGATGCCACAATGCACGGTGCTATTACGACAGCTGCGATTGCTACGGTCAAGGGCCAGGTGGATTACGAAGTGGGTTTCAAGTCTCTGTCTCCGGTCAAGTAGGGAATCCCGCGCTCGCTCCAGTCCATCGCCATCCAGCAGCAAGACGCACGTTCCTGTCTGGGTTTCCAGGGTCCCCCGTTCCTGCTCGGGCGGCACTTCAAAGGGGCCCCATGCGCGCGCCCAATGAAAGCAACCGAGTAGTGCGCCACGGCGTCGTCTATCTGCCCAGGTGCCTGCCCAGGAGCCCAGGTCCGGTGATTGCGGGTGGCATATCGCTGCGTGTTACTGAGTAGTACGGAGTAGTACTTGACACGCAAAATGACGCTGGTGGATACTTTAGGTGGGTTTGGATGAGACTCCATCTCCATGCCCGACGTCATTACTGGAGACATTCTACTGGGCCTTTGGCCAGGCGCAAACTTGCTGTCGACAACCATTCGTCGATGCAACCCGTCGATGTGAGGTTGCAGGAAATGGAGGGAAAAAGAAAATTTTCGCCGAGGTGCCTGGGGGTGGAACATCCAACGGCACACAGGTTAGCCATTGCGTCCGAGATGAACGCATGCCATCAAGTGCTATTGTCAGATGGTGGGCGGATCTGGGTGTTGGTTATTCTTGAATGCAAAGGAATCAATATATAACTACCACTCATCATTCGTCACCCGTAACAGAATTCCTCCAAGCATCAGATTCAACATCACTCTATAACGCTATATTCCGGCAGGCTCTGAAATGCCATGATACTACCACCGCAGCCATCAATTGATCCTTTAGACATGAGATCTACATCCAGCGTATCCAGCCTCTCCAATGCCCGTTTCACAGCCTTGGTGGTTTTTCCGACCCTGCCAACACTAAACAAGTCGAAATGGTGCCCGTCAACAGGAAATACCTCAGTAAACATATTCTTGTCATACCGCCCCCATCCAAGCCTCTTATCGGCGCGGTATGCATCCAATTCATCAAATCCAGGTGAGCTGGCGGCCGTCGGCAGTCGCTCCTTGGCTCGCAGAAGCACGCTCTTCGGCCTCGTATCCGCATCTTCTCCATCCCAGACGGGGATCTTCCACCTGCCAACCATGCGCCTCGCCTGCGCCATGCACCTTCTTGACAGTATCTCGTTCTTTGTCAGGCCAAGTTCCGACACATTGCTGGAAAATTCGGTTGTTGTAGTCCGTTTGAGGCCACCGGGATATATTGTGTCAACCATGAGAATACCAACGACTTTGATGTCGTCATCGTCAACGAGACGCTTAGCGATCTCTAAGCTGAGCATGCCGCCAAGACTCCATCCGCCCAAGTAGATCTGGACACGCCCGTCACTCGACTTCCGGATAGGAAAGTCTCGCTTCGTTACTGCCGTTCGGATCCACACGGTATATACCTCTCCGAGATCTGCGAGAGATCCCTCAAACGCCTCTGGACTGTGAAAGTATGGATTGCGTATGCCATAGATGAACCTGTTGATCAACTCCATGCAGTGATATGCAAAAGTCGTTCCACCACCATCGTGAATCATGAAGATGGGTGTCGCCGGCCTACCATCCCGGTATGGTTGCCTCTGTCGTTGGATAAGCTCTGCGCCGTGTCCCAGCTGCATTTGTGCGTCAATTTTGGCAGGTTGCCTGTTTGTGAATGTGGACATGTCCAAATAGCTCGCTTGTCCAAGGCGTCTTGCTTGGTATTGTGCTGCTATGACGGTCTAGAGTAGCCTTGCAGGAAGGTTAGTCGCAATGTCTGGGATGTTTGGTGGCCTGAGTGAGTCAGAATTGATGCGCATCTGGAATATCGCATCCAAACTGTGCTGCTTACAAGATACATGCATCTGACATATCCACTACGGGGGCCAGATGGAACAGTTCTCCCCCAGTCTGTTAAAGAAACATTGAAGTCTTCCGAGACGGGGCTATGGCAGTCTGGCGAATGGCAAGAACTGAACCTGTCAGACCAGACATTTCAATCAGCCTTCAATGTTGTATAGAATGGATCCAAAGCACTCCCTGTCAGGACAAGCAGTTGACCAACCCACAGAAACGTAATTTATGCTGTGCCAGAACCCTTATGAATGATGCATTTCGTCGTTTGTACAGGTGCGTCAATCGCTCAGGAAATTCAGAGCCCAGCCGTGGAACTGCGGTCTGGTGCAGCTCCGTTTGTCGTGGCGAAGAATGGTGGATCATCAGGATAATCTCCCACTGGTCAAACGGTATTGTCAAATTTGGCCAGATAGTAATACAGTCTATTGCGCTTCGCATATTCGATTTCCATGTCGGAAGAGCTATCATCAGAGACAGGGTGGTTGTGCCAAATACCCCTGCAATCGCCACAGCAAGAGATGCAGCTTCATGACCGACTTTCGCTTCCACTGCTTCAAAACTAGAATCTCATTGTCATGAAACAGCTCGGACGCACCTATTAGTCTTGCAAGCTCATCCTCTCCAAGAAGCCAGTGCAAATTATGCACCGTGAGTTTGCCTCCATACTTTGCGCCGTCCAGATCAAGTGTCGCGTACTGGGTAGAAGAGTTCTCTTCACTTGGTAACCACAGCACACATCCACGAGGCTGGACCTCTTTGATTGCATCCCACTTCGTACAAGGCTGGATTAGTTTTTCCTGCCCGTCGCCCTTCATTCCGGATTGGCAAACCAGAGCATCGACCGCCTGACGTCGCATCATTCGCAAAAGGACATCACCCATGTCTTGCCTCCAGACGGGGTTTTTGGTGTTTGGCCCCGCGGCCATGCCGGTTCGCGTAGCTAGAAGCAGGGCCGCATGCTTTCTATTTGGGCCACCAATTCTGTCTATGACCGATTTTCGAGACAAGGCGTAGCTTGTAACTGGACTTTTTCTTGGACGCGTGCTTGAAGCGGCTGTAGAAGCATGAGTGTCGGCGCCCAATTCTTGGGCCTGCGGTGCCGCTGTCTCCGAGTATGCACCTTGTATTTTATCTTTCGAGGGTATCTTCTCGTATATGAGGCCTTCAAATGCCAGAGGACCGGGAGCCCACCACGGCGAATCGTCTTGTGGATGCTTAACAAGTTCAAAGTCTTGGAAGAAGTACCTCGGCAAGGAGATTGCAGTATTGGGACATCGGCGTATCGGAGTCGCTAGAGCTTGGGCTACAGAGTATGAGATACAAATAATCAAGAAAAGTCTCTGAGGCTCGCCTGCTTACCATACGGATTATTGGCCAGCTTCTTCCTAAATCTACCCGTAGCCTTGCTTGGGCTGTGCTTTCGTGACCGTCGGCGCGCCTTTATCCAGTCAGAATCAAAGAGGGGGGACAGTGGTAGATCGCCTGTAGCCGTTGATATAGTTTTTTCCTCCGTGTTTAGAAGCAGATTAGCATCGCCGTTACCGGCCCCGAGGCCCGATTCGACCTTGTGGTTCAATGCGTCTTTCGTGAGCGCAGACTTGTCGTATGATGCCCATCTCTGTGCCTGGACGCTACGGCTAACAGCTCGCAATGGCCTGGCTCGAAATGGTATGCTCGCCATCATGATAACTAATCTTCAAATGCCAGATAATTGCATTGGCACTGTCAGTGGCCGCCCGCGAAGAGGGCTTTGAGAAACTTGGTGACTTGGCGAGGACGCGCCCACTCAGGGATTTTCGGTGGAGAGCTGTCAGAGGTTCTTCAGAGCTACATGTATCCCCCACTGTCTTCTGCACCGCCAAGCTCCAGATGTCAACAACATGACACAACAGCGGTAGACCAACGTCACCATGTTGCGACCACGCGCTTTGCCGGCCATTTGTAGGCTCTCAAGGCCATCTCGTCACTGCAGGCGGTCCTTTGGATTCGCTAGCAGGGCTGGATCCGAGCCGACGATGGACTACATTCCGATGCCATATATTGAAGAGACGTCGGTACGCGAGCTTCGGAGAGCCGATCGCATTTCAGGATTTCGGGGCTGACTTGAACAGGCCGCAGGAAGAAAAACATGTTGGTCAAACACCACGCGCCTTATATGCTCGCGATCGAAGGGATAATACTGATGGGCCGCAGGGGATATCTTTTCAAAGCTCTTGCAGGTTGGGGCCTTCGCTACGCACTGGCGCAAATGCCAAGCTGACATGTTTAGGAACGCATTGTCTGCTTAAATGGCGAAATTAACGATTATATGTCTGCATCAATCGTTGCTCAGCTCCTATGGCTCGAATCCGATACACCCGAGAAGCCGATCACCATGTACATAAACTCGCCAGGAGGCTCGGTGACGTCAGGTGCGCTCGCCCAGCAAGGCTGCTCATGAACAAATTCTGACAAGCACGCTAGGAATGGCCATCTACGATACCATGACATATATCAAATCTCCTGTGTCGACCGTTTGTGTGGGCGGCGCTGCCTCGATGGCGGCGATTCTCCTGGCTGGTGGAGAGGCAGGAAAACGATTCGCATTACCACACAGCTCGATTATGATTCATCAGCCGCTGGGCGGAACTAGAGGTCAAGCATCGGATATTTTGATATACGCAAACCAAATCCAGCGCATTCGAGAACAGTCAAACAAGATCATGCAATACCATTTGAATAAGGCCAAGGGTACCGACAAGTACTCGCTGGAGGAGGTCAATGACATGATGGAGAGGGACAAATATCTAAGCGTGGACGAAGCTCTAGAACTTGGAGTCATTGATGAGATTTTGACCAAAAGAACGGACAAGAAAGAGGGACAAGAAAAGAAGACAGATGGTTGAGTTGGGCTGGTGACAAAGTGTGTCGTTGGCCGGCTGCCCAGCTCAGTCATGTTCCAATGTTGGAGCCCTTGATTGTTGAGACTTGAACCCCAAGATAAATCAATGACTACGCAGTTACAGACTTATCAAGCCCAGGTAGTGCCGCGCATCCAGGGTAGGACTACGAGGTGATTTTGAAGTGTCGCCGATGTCGGCGGATTAGCTTCATGCAGCCTGATAAAACGGTCTTGCCCGTAGCAAACTATTAATATGCATCAAAGAAGATGTAAAATATAATGGTCGTGTAATCCCCGTGATAACACTTGCTAGTAGTATCAGAATGTTCGTGCACCAAGTCCGTAATAGGGGGTTGGTGGTAAATCGGTCAATCCAAAGCGCGGCCGTTGTGCACCGGCTCCCAGGAACTGGAGCTCCTGGTGGCCGGACGCGGCAGTCAGAATATCAACCACCAAAATCAACCAATAATGGAGCGCCAATTACCTATAGTGGATACCTGTTTGCGACCACAGCAAGCTCTGAAGCACCAGCAGCTCGGTCGGCCCGCCAAAGTCACAGGGACAAAAGTCACAGGGACAGGCTAATAAAAATGACTTTACAATGCTCGCGCCGACACCGCTGACCTGCTCTGTTCACTCCCTCTTCGTTTCTGTGTCATATCAAAATTCAGTGCAAATTGGCCGTCCCAATCGTCACTGGTAGTGGACAATTGGACCGAGGTGGGATAGTACTTTGACAAGAATTGTCCTCAACTTTTTTTGACCCAACCGCTACCGAGTCATCCGTCTGCCTTTGTCAACACCAGACTAGCTAGGATGCTGTCTGCAATGCGGCAACGGCCTATCGGCCTGGTCTCGCTGGCGAGAGCTAGCTTCGCACCGTCAAGGAGCCATGGGTATGCTCAATGCCTCAGTATCCTGCCCGACTATTGAACACAATCGGACATCTCAATTGCTGACACAGTCTGTCATCATGTAGCCGCTTCCTGTCCACCACAATGTCTCGCCAGACCGACGACAAGCTTAACAGAGTTTCATCATCTATCACGCAACCCAAGTCACAAGGAGCATCACAGGCTATGCTGTACGCCACTGGTCTCTCAGAAGATGATATGAACAAGGCGCAGGTTGGCATCTCGTCCGTCTGGTACGAGGGCAACCCTTGCAACATGCACCTTATGGACCTGTCAAAAATTGTAAAGGAGTCTGTTGCCAAGGCGGGGCTGATTCCTTATCGATTCAACACTATCGGCGTCAGTGACGGCATCTCAATGGGCACAACTGGCATGCGATACTCTCTTCAGAGCCGAGAAATCATTGCCGACAGTATAGAGACTGTCATGAACGGCCAATGGTACGACGCCAACATCAGCTTGCCTGGTTGCGACAAGAACATGCCTGGTGTCGCCATTGCCTTTGGACGTGTAAACCGCCCTAGCATCATGGTTTATGGCGGTACCATCAAACCCGGCTGTGGCCAGTCTGGCGAATCCCTCGACATTGTGTCCGCTTTCCAGGCATATGGACAGTACATCACTGGTGAGATTACGGAAGAGCAGCGTTTCGACATTATCCGCCACGCCTGCCCGGGTAGCGGTGCTTGTGGTGGCATGTATACTGCCAACACCATGGCCACTGCCCTCGAAACCATCGGCCTTAGTCTCCCTGGTAGCAGCAGCAATCCTGCCGAGGACCCCAGTAAAATCGCCGAGTGCCAGAGCGTCGGGGAGGCCATCAAGACCCTTTTGAAGGAGGATATCCGACCCCGCGACATCATGACCCGTCAGGCTTTTGAGAATGCCATGACAGTCGTTTCCATTCTCGGTGGCAGCACAAACGCCGTGCTCCACCTTATTGCCATCGCTGACTCTGTTGGCATCAAGCTGACCATTGATGACTTCCAGAGCGTCTCCGACCGCGTTCCCCTACTGGCTGATCTCAGACCGTCGGGTAAGTTCGTGATGGAGGACGTTCACAAGATTGGCGGCACGCCCAGTCTGCTCAAGTTCCTTTTAAAGGAGGGCCTTCTCGACGGCTCTGGCATCACCGTTACCGGCAAGACCATGAAACAGAACATGGAGAATGTTCCCGATTTTCCCTCCGACCAGCAGATCATCCGCCCACTGAGCAACCCCATAAAGCCTACTGGCCACATCCAGATTCTCCGCGGATCCCTCGCACCTGGAGGTTGTGTGGGCAAGATTACAGGAAAGGAAGGTCTCCGGTTCACAGGCAAGGCCAAGGTCTACGACTCAGAGAGCGACATGATTGCCAGTCTGGAGAGGGGCGAGATCAAAAAGGGAGAAAAATCCGTCGTCATTATCCGCTATGACGGTCCTAAAGGTGGCCCCGGTATGCCCGAAATGCTGAAGCCCTCATCTGCCATCATGGGTGCCGGTCTTGGCAAGGATGTTGCCCTCTTAACTGACGGTCGCTATTCTGGTGGCTCTCACGGCTTCATTATTGGCCATATCGTTCCCGAGGCCATTGAAGGTGGTCCGATTGCACTCGTAGAGAATGGCGATGAGATTGTCATTGATGCCGAGAAGCAGGTCATTGATCTCAATGTCCCAGAGGCTGAGATGGAAGCTCGACGAAAGGCATGGAAGGCACCCGCTCCCAGATATACCAAGGGTACACTGAAGAAGTACGCAGCTCTAGTTAGCGACGCAAGCGCAGGGTGTGTCACGGATGGTTCTATTCACTAAGTGGTCGGTTTTTGTGCGCTGGTTGGGCTGATACAGAATTTGTGTTGGATATATTGCTTCCCGGCGCTTGAAAGGAGTCTGTTGCCAATGGGAATAGGGAATGCTTTCCCGGGCACTGCCAAAATTTGTAGCTACTGTAGTAAAAAATAATGGTCATTGGGCCAGGTGACATTCTGTGTTGATAAGAGGAGAATCTTGAAAGATTTAGATAATGAAGACAAATGCAATTAAGCGACTGTGAAATGTAAGGGTTTCCCAATATATCTAGACACCTAGGCAGCAACAATTCAATGAGAAATTTCAGTTCCATGCTCCTTGCAATGCAACGCCAAATCCCTCAGTTAGACCCATCAAATTCCCTACCCTCAACCCCAACGCAGGATCATGAAGCCCAAAAGTACTCTCTGTTGAAGATAATCATGACTTCTTTTTGCTGTTGTAGACTGTGACAAAAGCATCCTTGTCCTTCATGGTCAAACCAACACGCTTGACTCTGCTCAGTCTGGCAAGGGCTTCTCCAACACGATCAAGGACCCTTTGCTCCTCTGCTGATATGTCTGAAGAGCCATCTTTTCTGTGCCGCAGCTCATTAGTACCGTTGGAGGCATTGGCATTGCTGTTCTTAGTAGCAGCAGTGTTCATTTGGCTCTCCGCAATGCGGACCCGAATACAAATTGTAGGTCGCGAAAGCAGGTTCCACAGGAAACCGAGCCACAGTCCAGGGAGGGGCGTTGTGACATCTGCGGGAGTATATCGTAGGCTGACGGGGAAAATAGCGACATCAGAGGGGGCGTCGACCAAGGAGGGGCTGAGCGGCAGAATGGCCTTGCCATTGCTAGTGCCGCATTCTGGGAATACAGCAATCACGCGGTCAGGATAGGCTTTTAACAAGTCCTCGATTTGGACCAGTTTCACATTCGCGGGAGGTGTCATTTTGACCGGACTAAGCGCTTGCATGATTGCGCCAAACAAGCTGACATGCTGCACTCGTCTCTCCCCGGGGTATGATACGGTAAAGATGGGATCGAAGATGGCGGCGAGATATACGGCATCGATGGGACTGGTGAAGTTGGCCGCAATGATGGAGCCCGGGTGAGGAAAACGATGCAGAGGTTGGCCCGATAGGGTTCCTCGCTTGACGCCATCCAGCTGCAGATCTACCCACCAGATGCCCGGGATAGCCATCAGACCCCAGAGTGCCATCTTGCGCGCGACAACGGGCAGCGGGAGGTGGTGGAAGAGCACAAAGTAGCTGGCGGCATAGGCGATGAAAAAGGGGAGTCGAAATATAAAGAGCACGGCGTGCGTTGCGAACGAGACGACAGACAGAGGCGTGGTCACCGGGAGGAACGGCGAGATGCCAGTCGCTAGCAAACATTGACGTGGTTAGCTAATGAGACAGCTCACGCGACAGGACGGGGTAATCAAAGAAGCCCTCTCTACATTGCTTGAGCTTTGGTTCTTACCTCGATCCCGAAACTGGCTATACTTTTCCATCTTGGCGATACTTGGCTGGAAGCTCTCCGGCAGAGTTATACGGCGCAGTGTAGAATAAGATCGATAGGCAGCCCTGTGAGCTTCACCAGAGTCGCTTTGGCCAATATGCACGGAGCAGCTTCGAGTAGCTGATGAGCCGTGGATAGAACAAAGGAATGGCAAAGTCGACGAGGAAAGAAGTCCGGCACCCCCTCGAACGACCAGGAGTATTGGCGATTCAGAGGGTGGAGCAATTTATCTATTGCGAGTGATGGGATGTGTGGACAAGGCCAGATTCGCCGCTCGCTGCTCCGTCGTCCGTCTCGGTTGCGACGCTCGCAACTTACTGGTGGGATAAGCTTCTGCACGTCGGGGTTTAGGACGTCGGGTAGCTCAGGCTGGGGTGTGGGTGGTTTGGTTGGGTCAACCGGATCGACTTGGCTCGCCGTGGAGGGTGGGAACAATCAATGTTTCGCTGAGAATGTCATTCTTTGGCGTGCAACCCTGGAGGCATGTGAATGTCGGCGTTGCGGCGCAAGAGAGTTTGTTCATTTGACAGCTATGTTGGTGGTGTGGCTGAGCGAGGCTGAGAGAGACTCGTGTGGCGGCTTCGACGATGGTTGCCCCCCGCAACCCAGATAAACAACGCCACACATTGATTATCTACGGGTTGACACGCTCAGCATGCGGACGACCAGTTACTCCACCAGTACAAGACCGACCGGCCAAGTGAGCCCATGTGGGTTAGCCAAATAGTTTTTCGAAGCAATAGCACGCTTTGGCCCTTGGTTTCTTTTCTATGATCATATTCATCCCAACTTTGAACACTCGTCAAACAAACGACTTGCCAGCACTCTCTTTGCGACAAGTCGACCGCGAGTACGGATCGAAGGAGCACGGCTCTCACCCTCGCCCACTTGATTGTTCGTCACGACATCTGGGTTTCGCCACTAGGTGAATGGGAAATTTGATTCCGTGGGATATACACCATTCATCATGGAGACTTCAGACATACAGGTTGGTTTGCCCAAGTATGACGACCATGTCCGATGCGCACGTACTGACCGCGATGGCTATTTTACTCCCAGTTGCAGCCTTTGCGAGTATCCAAGATCAGCCGTCTGCCAGGTCCAGCGGTTCACATAGGACTGGCCGAACTGAACGAATCGCAACACAATGCTCGCGCGCAGACAGCAATTCCAGCTCCGCCTGGATTCAAGCCTCATCTGAAAAGAGAGATCCCACAGCCGGGTAAGATACTGCCAAAGTCTTTGTGTGAGTGATGCGCCTCAGAAGTTAATCGACGACATGTCACCACAGCACAACAACCCGATCCGAAGCGCAAACCTTTGGCCGACCGGGCTGCCGAGTATCCAGCGTCTGCTTCTACGTCTATTTCTACATCTGCTGCTAGTAAACTGGCTATCAAGGGACAAACTTTGCCACAGGTGAGTTTTTAGGACAATTCCCAGGGCTCCTCAACATGGTTGCCGCCAGGGCTGCTGTGATGCGTGTAGTTATCCGAAAATCTGACAACTCGACTCAGCTTAAGCGACCGACTCGACACGCTACAAATACAGCCGCCCCGACGTCACTGACCGGCTTTGCGAAGAGTTTCGGTCCCACCCGTAATCAAGTTGATCGATCAAACCCAACAACGTTCCGATCTAGCCATGCCAGGTCAAAGAGTCAAGCCGCCAGGCCGCGGACGGCACACGGTCATCGGCCAGAAGAACATTTCGAAGACACAACATCCACTAATGGTACGAATTTGAGCCCAAACCGTGACAACAGCCTCCAAAACACGAAACTCAGACACATGAAGTCAACCCCAGCCTTTTCCCGCAGCAGAGAAAGTTCTCTTACAACAAAGTTCCGAAGCCTGAGCATATATGACAATGTCACACCGGCCGATGGATGTCGAGTGGCATCTAGACATGAATCAAGAACGACTTCTTCTTCTTCTTCATCTTCTTCAAACTCTACCCTCGCGCCGAATATCACAGTCAGAGCGAAGAGGGTGGAGCCGAAAGAAGCTCGCTCAGTTTCATCGGAGACTTAGGCAGTCCCTCCCAAGACACCGAGTAAATCGCAAATGATGAAGCAATTGGCCAAGGTGGAAAGTTGCATCTCATCATTCAAAAGCTCCCCAACCAAGTCCCCCTCTCCTCATAAATTCCTCAGGAAAGATTCTAACTTGGCCCCATTTGCAGCATGGGACGTTGACGGCAGAGTTGATAGCATGGAATCGCAGTTCAGGGAGCTGAAAGATATGGTGAACACGACGCTTGTGGAACGGAAAGGTCACGAGGATGCCCTTGAACTTGCCAAGACCAGAGGTAAGCCACCATTTCGAGGTTCATTTGGACATGAGAGCAGTCGTGCTAATGAGGGCTGTAGTCTCGGAGCTTGAAGAGCATCGCCAGAGACTGGAGGAGCGAAACGAAGCCATGAGAACAGACCTCGACGTGGCAAGAGACGAAATCAGGCAAGCAAAGTACGAGCTAGAGAGGCTCCAATGGCAGCAAAAGCGAGACATCGAAGACTTGAACAGGCGGCATCGGGACACCATTGATGATCTCTCTAGGCAACACAGGACGGTTGTCGAGGATCTTAGCAAAGAATTGGATCAGTTAAAAGATGAAGAAACAAAAGAGCACCAGGCCAGAATTGATGCGCTGAATCGACACTATCAGCAAGAATTGGAAGACGAGCGCCAAAAGAAAGACCGAGAGATCCAGGAGCTCAGGGCACGCATGGGCAACGAACAACAAGATTTGAATCTAGAGCTGCAGCGGAAAGATCGAGAAATCCGAGACGCTAGACTAGAGTGCGACAGTCTAAGGGACGACCTCGAGCGTGAGAAGTCACTCAAAGGCAGCCTCCAGACAAACATTACAGAGCTATCCGCGGCAAACACCACGCTAGAAGCCAAGATCAACTCACTTCGGTCCCACGTAGAATTCCTAGAATCTGATAGCAAAGCACAATCGGACTCGTTTGCCAGTATGGAGGCGAGGCTGCAAGAGGCTCTTGCTGCGGCCGACGAAGCCCGTCAAAAGCTCATCAAGGAAGAAACGGAGAGGCGGGTCCTTTTCAACAAATACCAGGAACTCAAGGGCAACATACGCGTCATGTGCCGAGTTCGGCCTGCCCTTACCGACGATGCCTCCGCAGAGGCTGGTATTTTGTTCCCCGATGAGAAGACGTCGGCAGAAATTGTCCTGGCGGGACCTGAAGAGAAAAGCAGTCTTGGCGTTGTGTCAAGAAAGAACTATCCTTTCGAGTTTGATCGCGTCTTTGCCCCCGTCGTTCAGAATGAAGAAATCTTTGGAGAAATCTCTCAGCTCGTCCAGAGTGCTTTGGATGGCTACAATGTCTGCATCTTCTGCTATGGCCAAACGGGGTCTGGAAAGACCTACACCATGTCCTCCGAGGATGGCATGATTCCCAGAGCTACGCACATGATATACGACACCATGACAAAACTCAAGGAGAAGTCTTGGGAATACACAATGGAGGGTTCATTTGTGGAAGTCTACAATGAGGAACTAAACGACCTTCTTGCTCCCAACGACCGGTCTGCGGAGGCAAGGTCAAGAAAGTTGGAGATCCGGCACGATGAAGCCCGCAAGCAGACAACCATTGTTAACTGCAAGACGGTCCAGCTCAACTCTGCGTCTAGTGTGGAGCGAATCCTTGAGGAAGCACAAAAGAACCGGTCAGTTGCCGCCACCAAGGCGAACGAACGGTCTTCGCGGTCTCACAGCGTATTCATCCTGAAGCTCGTCGGTGAGAACATGGCTACCGGCGAGCGGTGTGAAGGCACCTTGAATCTCGTTGACTTGGCTGGATCGGAGCGGTTGAAGCACTCACAAGCCGAGGGCGATCGGATGAAGGAGACACAGAATATCAATAAGAGCTTGAGCTGTCTCGGTGACGTGATTGAGGCTCTTGGCAGAGGATCTGGTCATGTTCCGTACAGAAACTCCAAGCTCACGCACCTGTTGCAATACAGTTTAGGCGGCAACAGCAAAACACTCATGTTTGTCATGGTTTCACCATTAGAGACGCACCTGAAGGAAACGCTGACAAGCTTACGCTTTGCTACAAAGGTAACGATTGCTTGTCCCTCCAGATCAGGCTCACGATATGCTAATGACACAAACTAGGTGCATAATACCCACATCGGCACGGCCAAAGCAACCAAGAAAATCAGGGGATCCGAATAAGTGTCGAAAAGGTCAATTATGAGTGTGCGACTAAAGGGTTACGAAATTAAACGATGTACGCAAGCATAGTCTGGTTAGATTTGTTTCTTGGTGGAGTTTGGAAAATCTGATTTGATAGGGTAGCGCGCTTTTGGTTTGGATGCAGCCGACTATAGTTGAGCTTGTACAGATGCTCCAGGGCTAGTAGGTTTACGATGCATATTTTTGGTCCCATTTCGGTTTGTTTGTGAATCTAGAGTTGGTAAGTGTGTGTGAGGACCGCTCGTAACGTCTCGACCTTTTGGTGACGTATCGCTGTTGCTACATCGCACGCACATAGACTGCTCGGCGGTCGTCGGGGCCGTTGCGCACCTGGCTTGAGAGATGAGACAGCAAATGGCCTTGTGAAGCTGGGTAACGGAGAGCTTGATCAACGGCATCCCCATGCGCTCAGCGTAGCCTTGTTCCGCCCTGTTGTGCGGTGCTTGGACAGGCCACAGTCGGAAGACAGGCCGGACAAGAGGCCACCATCGTCACAGAACACGACATGGAGTAACCAATTCCCCGGCATGAATTTCGCCATTGAGCATACCCGTCGGCAACGATGTTGGCTATCGACTTATTTGAATTGAAGCAAGTACAGAGACTCAAAAACATTGCGTGTTGGAACTTGGTGGTAAAGAATTGTGGAGGTGAGCGCGAGCGGCGTGATTTCCTATTCGTCCACTGCTCAATGCCAGCCGCCTGAACTGACCATGAACCAAGGCTCGAAGCTGGCCGCAAGGCGTCTCGTTCACGCGCATATGAATACCTTTGAAACTCGTTCCCATTGAAAAGACGAATATAAATACCCCCCAGCCTTACAAAGGTCTGCATTGATCTTCACCACGCGGGCCTGATGATCACGGCCGACACGACTGGTTTTTTTTTCTTTTGCCTCATACACGCAGCAAGTTGAGACCAAACCTCAACTCATCGGCCCGCCACGCTCTCACGAGTCACGACTCGCCATGGAGCGTGGCCTACAGACCTCCATGTGGGCGGCGGGAATGCCCTCATCACGCCGGACATACGACCTAGCCCGGCACGACACAAGGTCCAGGTCGTTGCCGCCGCCCATGTCCGGCTTCGCGGCGCCCTCAGCAACGTCGACATCAACGCCCGGCTCACACACCACCACCACCAGCACCACCACAGCCGCCATCACCCCCTTCCTCCCGGCGACACAAGCACCCGCAGCAGCAAACGCGGGCTGTCCCTCCCGTGTCAAATCCTTCCGCCGCTTCGAGCAGGCCTGCCGGCGGGTGCGCTGGAAATGCATCGACCTCGGGAACTCGTATAGCCGTGCCCTGGACCCCGCCGACTGCCACTTTACTGCGGCTGACGCCGAGATGAACTTCAAGGTTGATTTCCACGAGTTCTACGCGTGGATCGAGCAGGCTATTGTGCTATTGCTCCGGGTCTTTGGGGTGTCTGTGAAAGGGGGCAGCTCGTGGTGGGATGGGACACGGCCCGCCGGTAACTCATCGCATGCGTACCATCATAATGTGCTGAAGGCGCTCGAGGAGGAGGAAAATCCGCTGTACGGCGTACTGGGAAGCGGAGACGTCCACAAGGCGCTTTGGGAGGCGAAGAAGCTGCGCAATAGGTGGAAGGATGCGTCCGAGGACAAGGAGACGCCGCCTTTGAAGATGTATAATTTGCACTGGATTGTTGCCGAGATACTCGAGGGGCTGGAAAAGGCATATCTTTTGGCTAAGGAAGAGGTTGGGGATGATTTGCAGAACGGCAATGGCGACGGGATGGCTGTCGAGAATGGCTGGGACTGGGAGTGGATGGTTGAGAGCATGGATTGGGAGGCGTGAGGATATTGGATACATATACCGAGTAATTCATAGACGAGGAGACGGGTGGTATTGGGGCCGCTGCGTTTTATTTTTTTATTGGGCTGGTGGTTAGCGATCCACTGCATGCAGATTTATTTCACTGACACTCCGATCTAGTTGTACATTAGACGGCGTGTGCAAGATCAGCTTGGACGCCCGAGGATAATATCAGACGCCCGGTCTGCGACGGCGTAAACAGTTGCCGTTAAATGTCCACTAAACTGCATTGGCAGCACGGACGCATCCACCACTCTCACATTTTTTGTCCCGTACACCTTCAGCTTGGAGTCGACTACGCCGCCGAGTTCCTTGGACATCATGGACGCGGTCCCGATGGCATGGGAATTGGAACTGCTCGAGTCTGCGAGGAACTTGTTCCACTGCTCATCCGTGGCCCCCGGCGGCAGTACCGTTGCGTTGGGAGCAAATTGGCCCGTGATTATTTCCTTCACAGGTGAGGTGGTCCAGAATTCGACACCTATTTTGCCCGACTCAACCTGGGTGGCAAGGTCAAAGTCTATGGAGAAGTACCTGGGGTCAATGACGGGGTTGTTAATGTCGTCGATGGAGCTCATGTGAACGCTTCCTCTACCAAAGGGCATGAGGTCCCAGTATGAAGTACCGATCTTGTCTCCCTGGGCGGTGGAAAGGATCTCGGCAAGTGTGGCGTGTGTATTGAAGATGGCATTGTACTGAATCTCCAAGATGCGCTCCAGGGCGGAAGCATTTAAGCCGCCGTGGCTGGCCTGCGCAAGCTGCCGGGCCCATGGGCCAAGTTTTGCCCGGGTATCATTTGCGACCTTGTCGACGGTGCTGCCGTAAATATCTGCCGCGGTTACAAATGTACTGTATGGAGTGTAGCCTTTGACGGTGGCATTGGTGGTGTAGAAGAAGGAGCTGAGTGCTTGGTCGATCATGTTCTCTCCGACGGCTGGTAAATCAACAACTACCTTGACGCCTTTCTGCTTGAGCAGGTTAGGGTTCCCGATGCCGGAATGCTCTAGAACAAGAGGTGTTCGCAATGCTCCTGCTGAGATGATAACTTCTTTCCTGGCTTTGGCAATCCTCCTTTTCCCGTCAGGGCCAAGATATTCCACGCCGGCGGCCTCGGCCCCCGATGCTGCATTCGTATCCTTCCAAAGCAATTTGGATACTGTACCATTGAGGTGTTTGAGGTTTTGGCGGCTTATAATGGGCCAGTAGAATGCAGTGGCAGAATCCCATCGTTTATTCTCCTTTGGGTCCATCGTTTGTGGCCAAACGCTGAATCCTTTGGTTGTTCCTCCGTTGACATCTCTGTTCACACCCTCTTTCATGACGGCCCAGGAATCTCTAAGCGTATCGTACAGTGGACCATTTTCAAGGGCTGGGTTGAAGGCTACATGCAGTTCGCCGCTGGTTCCGTGATACCGAGGTTCAATCGACGCCCCGACTTGAATTTGCGCCGGTGCTGGTGGGAATATCGTTTCAACCTTTTTGTAGTACTTGAACATTGCGGCCCAATTCCAACCGGGATTTCCCAACTGCTCCCATGCATCAAACTGAGCCTTGTCCCCGCGAATATATGTCATGCCTTCTTTTCATGTCAATGAATATGTCAAAAAAAAAAAAAAAAAAAGGGACCCAACGACTCGGCCCAGACTTACCATTGATCAAGCTCGTGCCTCCTATGCCCTTTCCCGCATCAAATGTAATTACACGATTGCTGACATTGGCTTGTGGAACTGTTTGGTAGGCCCAGTCTGTTGAAGTCCCCAGATTGTTCAGCCATATCATCGGGTTTGTGACATTCGGGTTGCTTCGCTGGTCGGCACCTGGATCGATGACAGCCACTGAGATGTTGGGATCCCGGGACAATCTGTTTGCCACCACGTTGCCAGCAGTACCTGCACCCACGATCACGTAGTCAAAGTCTGTCGTCGCACAAGCTGGGGGCAATGCCAAAGACGCCAGTACAGCTGATCCTAGCATTAATCCGTTCATCTTTAAAATGCAGCTCAGTACTCTGTACTTTGGTTCCCTCCAGAGTTGGTGAGCAGGAAAAGCGGCAGCACGTGTGTCGCGAGCGCTATATAAATACTTTCCTGCATACTATTGAGGTCATGACGTACTACCGTTCCAAGTCGCTGAGAGTATGACAGCCCCATTAGCAGCACACTCGATGCTCATGATGGGCCCGTCGAATGTAAGACGCGGGGCATCTGGGGTTGAGCAAGGAATAACGACCGGATGGATGATGGAGAGTGTCAGCATTATCCATGCTAGTGGACTCAACGTCAACCAAGGTGCTGGACATTGTTCGGTGTGTTGTTTGCTGCCGCCGCTCGAATAAGATGGAGCTGCGGGAAGAGAGGCTGCATAACAATGCACAAGTCAATGGCTTTGTCCTGTAATATTTGTGAAAGTTAAGAGGCTCGGCCTCTGCTTCTGAGGTTGTATTTGTGTCTGCTTGCTTGTAGCCCAACTTACATATCTTGGATAGGCCTCGATGGGCCTCGGGCCTGTTTGTTGTCTGCGAAACAGCGGACGGGTTTTCGGTTTTTCAAGGTCCATGTCAAAGTTGACAGTTCAGTCGGCTTCGTGACAGGGGCGTCTGGGGTGAAGCTCAGGACATCTGGAGGCCCACCAGACGTTGACCGTTTTAGCTTAGCCGTTCGGGCCATTGTGTCGACTCCCGATGTCGAGTGCCCCCACAAAGTCCACAGACCCCAAGCCGTGGTCAACTTCCACTCTTCACAGACGGCTTCGCATCCATTGATAACCCCAATTGGGATGGCCTATCTTTCACATGCACTATGCTCTTGAGGTTTGACTCTATTGCCGGAAAATATCCCATCGTCAGCTCGTTTGAGCGTCCAACGCTTCCCCCGTCAGTCCCATGGCCGCCTCGGCTGTGGCTCCTTTACGGCGAAGTGCCAGGAACGTGAAGAAGGAAGCTGCCGTGGAAACCAAGATACATTCCGGCGACAAACAGGCTGCATCGCATGCAATTAAGCGCAGTGCTTCACCAAACCTACCAAAGAGGCCCAACGCCAAAAAGGTCAAGGCTGAGCCTGTGTCGCCTTCAGCCAAGCACATCTCAACAATCAGCGCTCGGGATTTTAGTATCAAGACGGAGACGACCAAAGCGGACATTCTCAAAGAGCGCAAACTCAAGTCCTTCTCTGCTTTTTCGAAAAAATCCCCGTACCCAGACTTTGCACGCCCAACCGCGGAAGAATGCAGGGCTGCTCACAAGATTCTGGCCAAACGCCACGGCGAGCGGCTTCGCCCAGAAGAAGTTGTCGCTCCGACCAATGCCGCCGGCTGCGGAGATTCGCCGTCGGTCCTAGATGCCCTGGTGCGCACAATTCTGTCACAGAACACAAGCAACAAGAACAGCACCCGGGCCAAGCTGAGCATGGATGAAGAATACGGCGGTAGCGATAAGTGGGAAGAGATTGCCAATGGTGGCCAAGCGAGGCTGGAGAAGTCGATTCAAACCGGTGGCTTGGCCGCCACCAAGAGCAAAGTCATCATTGGCATTCTGCAGCAAACAAAGGCAAAATACGGCCTCTACTCGCTTGACCACTTGTTTGAGGCGTCGGACGAGGATGCCATGAAGGAGATGATTTCCTTTCAGGGGGTAGGGCCAAAAACGGCAAGCTGCGTATTGCTGTTCTGCTTGCAGCGCCCAAGCTTTGCTGTCGACACCCACGTCCACCGCATTACCGGGCTCCTTGGCTGGCGACCAGCTGCTGCTGGCAGAGAAGAAACGCAGGCCCATTTGGATGCGGTTGTCCCCGATGAAGAGAAATACCCTCTGCATGTACTGTTTGTGACCCACGGCAGACAATGCGAAGAGTGCAAGGCTGGTGGGAGCAATGCGAAGACCTGTGAGCTACGGAGAGTCTTTAAAAACGGCCGCTTTACTCCTCCGAGGAAGACCATTAAAGATGAGGATAATGGCGACATCAAGAAAGAGGAGGATTAGAACTGGAGAAGGGGGGGGGGGGGGGGGGGTTGCGGGGTATTCTTGCATTAATACTTTTGGTTTTCTTGAAAGATAAGCATTGCTGATCGAGGGGACTAGACAGCCTGGGGATTATGTCTTTGGGTCATCATGTACAACACAACAGGATATGGTGATGGCATTCATCATTTCATTTAGTCCACCAGACCGGAACGTGTTCAATCTGAGTGATGGGAGAGTAAGATGAAGGCAATGCTTGTCTACAATAGCCTGTTCCTACATTCACGATGCGTCGATGGGCCCAAACAGACTAACCAACAGGCTAGCTATTGGGACCTCCACCGTCTAGAGCTATTATAGATTGCAAGCACCGTGGCTCTATATCCTGCTCGATGGATCAAGTAGTTTTATTTCATCTCCTCGCCTCACTTGGAATCGAGACGCTCTCACTTCACCATCCTCTAGGGGTCCAAGACTTGGTCTATGGTAGGTTGATTTGCAATCAAATAACTTGGAATATTGCATCTTATAGCAATAACAGCTCTATTGGTGATACACAACGGAAGTATGAAAAACTCATATTGGCCTGATGATTAAATTTTGAATCAATAGAGGCTTCTGTCCCCCTAATAAACTTCTGGCGCCGCGTACAAGCAATTGCTACAACGGGGCACCTGGCAATGCGGGCAAAAATAGTCTAGAGCAACCGAGAACCAGCCACCATTGCAGGAGCACTATTGCATATTATTATCTAATCTCGAGTGTTGAAGTAGACGGTGATACGCACGCATTGCCAAGCCCTGTTTACTTTGGCCTGGTAATGAGAGGATGCCTTTGGCATTTGCTTTTTAGACGGAATTGATCTGCTGTCATCACTTTGGAGCATTTCGTGTCTCCCTCTACGTTCAGTTGTACATAGCTCGGCTTGATCGTCCAGCTCGTCGGCTTGGTCCAGGCCGTTATCAACTGTCACCTCGTCATTGTCGTGTACATTGTTATCGTCGTCCACCTCGCTACTATCAACCGCCTTGTCATCACCCATCTCGTCATAGTCGTCTGAATCTTCCCTGTCGCCGGTTTTGGGAAGAGCAAAGAGAGCCAGGTCGACTGGGTGCTTGCCTACCGTTGCCGATACTCTTTGATCGAGTCCAAAATCTTCCTACACAACGGGCATTCGGTCTTTGCGTCTAACAGTTTCATTCGCTCATTTCTTGCGATACTAGCATTCAGGTCTCCGGTGCTTATGATATCCGAGTGTATATCTTGCACGTGTCGCTTAAGGGACGCTTGAGGGGACCAGTATCCTTGGCATGAGCCTGGGCATCTCCAGGTCTTCCAATGTTTTTGGAGCACGTGGTCCATCCATTCGTGACGCCTGCTGTACTCTTTATCTGCAGTGAGGCAGTTTTCGAACAGGCACATATAAGGGCGAAGGTCGCTCATAACATGTTATCTGACAAGCTTCATTAGCGATACATTTCTTTAGACTAGCCTCCACTGCGCAAAGGCTTACTTCCACTGAATTCTGTTAGTTATAGATATCAACATGAAGCAAAAAGGGCATTGGAAGGGCCCTTTCTTGTACTGCTCTGGAAGAGGCGGGACTCGCAGTTTCTCGGACTCTGGTGCGGTCGTGGCGTATGATGTTTGAGAGTTTCCAGTCTCCGAGTGGTCGTCCTCGTCTAGTTCGCCAAACAATGGCGCCGAGTTCCCGGGGTCCTTCATAGCCAAAGGCACCGAAGACGCAACTGTGCTCTTTTCTCCCGCCTCGGTGCAGCCTTGGTCGAGGTCAAGGCCTTGAGACAACTTGGCATGGTGCGACTCGCGGTACTTGAAGTGCCGCCGCCTCCTGGATATTGCTTTGCCTAGTCGTCTAACAGGTCTTGGTTTGCATCCTTGTACTTGGCCTCCACGTGTCGAGCATCGAAATCGCTAAAGTAACTATCTTCTGCGTATTCAGTCGACATGAAGTGGTCATGCGGCGCTGGATTCCGTATCGTCGTGGAAAGCCGCAGCAAGGAGTTGATAATATCGGCGATATCTACGGACAACTGATCCAGTTCTGAGTTGAACTCAAACTTTTCATCCCCAAGTATTTCTTTCAACTCGGCGTCAATGTCGCAGCCGTCTATGACCTCCTCGTCCCATGGCGTCGCCTTTCCGCTCAATATGGCTTCAACTAAGCAGCTTTAGAATGTGTTTTTTTTTTTTTCATTTTGCCATTGGATGGACATACCTTCATCGATTGACGTGGCCAGTTCATCAAGAAGCCTCGCTACTTGCTGTCTGAGAGGAGAGGAGAGGAGTCCCGAAGACGATGGTCCAGTGAACCAAGTCCAGTGCGGTGGGCACCGATATTTCTAGACCATAACTTGAACCTCGCATGCTCGTCATTGACCGCCGCGATGATGCTCTCCTTTCGCTCATCTAGCTGCATGTCGCGGCAGGCCGAAGCAATGCCTCTGAAGCCGCCTAAACATTGTGCTACTCGGTCTGCAATCGAGCTTGGCGCCATATGTATTTCACCCGCTTCTCCTGCGCTGTTTTTATGGTCGAGTTGTTTTGAGGGACCGAGATGGACATTGAGGAGGAAAGAGCGGCCAGCTGTGACTCCATTCCTTGCGCATAAGGACTCTCCGCGTCGAATCATGTCCTACATCGAGCTCACGCCTGCTTTGTACGATGACCAGCACCCCTCAGTTATACGACCAATGGGGAGTCTGTTCCTTCTTTAATTCTTGTTCAACCCCATCGCGGTTCGCTAATGTGAGGCACATCTGTACTCTCAGAGCCGTCCTGTCAAGCTTGATCATCTCGCCATGTCCGGGTTCGAGGTTGTCGGAGTGCTTCTTGGAACAATTCCACTCGTTATTTCCGCCGTAAAGCACTATGAGCGCGTCGCCCGCACTATCCAAATACTGCGGCGGCGAGCTAAGGTAATGCACGCGTTGGCCCGGTCCCTAAGGACCGAACAGAGGATTCTCGAAAACACCTGCGAAACACTTTTAGGGGGGGTCGTGCCTGCGGATTGCGTTAAACCGCTGCTGGCAGAACCTTTTGGCCCTCTTTGGCGAGACGACAAAATCAGCCTAGAGGTCGAACGACGACTCGACTATACCACAGAAGACTTCAAGGATCTCGTGGAAAACATCAAGGAGGCCCTGCAGGAACTGAGGGTAAAACTGGATCTAGGTTCAGACATGGAGGTCAGTTCATGTCGTTCTAAGAACAACATGTACGGGAATATCGCGACCTTTCAGCGAGTTTACTAAAAACCGTCATAGGTCAAGGAGGGGAGCGTCGTTGGAAAGCGTGCTCTGCTTAAAATTGCCGCGATTGCGGTAAACGTCTCCCAGCACGAAGACGCGGTCAATAAGATAGCAGATGCGAATAGAAAATTGGAGATGCTCCTGGCAGGCAACCTCCGTAACGAAACCCTCCAGAGACGAACTTTTGAAGGCAAGCTATCCGGTCTCTTGAAAATTGTGACATGGAGTATATACAACGCTCTGCGACCGAGTCTACCTTGTAGCTGTGCGCAATCACACAACGTTCACCTAGGGCTCCCTGTCCTACCGCTCATATGTATAGACCAAGATGTGGAAAAGACTGTCAGGAAACTGGACTTTCATGTTACCTTTGCGAACGAGCCGCAGCGTTTTAGGGACCAGAGTCACACTACTTGGGCCTGGGAGGAGGTGCTTCTGCGGATCTTGAATGGCCACGGGAGAATAAGAGGAAGCAGCCTGTCCATGTCCGTCCAACCCCAAAGGCAAAAAGATTGAATCTTTCTAAAATAAAAATTGGATTCGCGGAAGACGCAACCTCCTCCTTGCAACATCTCACCTTGCAGGCCGGTAACCAGCGGGAAGGAAAGCTGATTCGGCCCGAGGATAATTTAGCAGAATTTCCTCAGCTTTCCAATCTTTGCGAATCCTTCAGCATGAAACCGCAGAGTGCAATTTACGGTTACATTGCAGACGCATCTGCCAACCCGCCATCCAAATTCGGGGTCTACTACCCAACATCCTCGGATAACAGCGACACTTGCCTGACTGTGTCACTTAGCAGTCTACTTGACCAAAGCCCTGGACCCCCGCCTCTATCTTGGAGGCACCGTATAGCAGCCGTTGTTGCGGCTAGCCTGCCCCATTTACACGGCACGCCTTGGATACCCCCCAAGCTCGCCTCTAAAGATGTGTACTTTATCCGACGACATGGGAAAGCGGACTACGAACAGGTTTTTGTGACCACAAAACCGGAGAACAGCTCAGCTGTTTACGATGACGGCTGGGACGATTCGGCCAGCTACGATAGTAACCCGTCCCTGCACGCTTTGGGCGTGTTACTGATGGAGGTCATGCTGTGGAAGTCAATCTACGACTTCTGGGATGATGTCAAGTCCAAATACTCCCACACCCCGGCCCTTGTGTTTCTCAACATACGGTCAGACAACGGCTTCAGTTGCACCTCAAGTGTCCTGGAGCGTATTGGATTCTCCGGCGGCCAGACTTACAGAGACGCCGTTGAGCACTGCATTAAATGCGACTTAAGGTGCGACTTTGAGTCCCTTGACAATGAGGAGTTCCGTGATGCAGTCTACCACTATGTGGTCGCGCCGCTGCAGGACACCGCCCGGATCGCAACGGTTCCGATGATCTCGGGCAAAGTCAGGTTCGCTTGCACGGCTTGAAGGAGATGCGAATCCGGGAATGACATTTATTTTCTGGCGAGCGGTCAGGGAGAGGCACACATGATGGCACGAGCCCAGTGGTGGCTGCTGTTGAAATTTTACAAGGCCTATGCTTGGTTCTGTTTGTGGGAGTACATTAGGACATCCTTTTTCTGGCATGCCCAGGGTGCATCAGTGAGTTTGGGAGTGATTGTTGTGTTCGTCCATGTGAGTGGCCGGGAAGCCCGTGGAAATGACTGATGTGAGCCAGGAGAGCTTGATTCTCCATTCCCAGCCGCCGGGGCATCCATCTGGAAGAGGCGCGTTTTAATCAGTTCAACTGGCAGGTACCTTTCAGTCGCTCGATCAACGGCCTACAGTCGGAGGCAATACGTATTGAATCACGTCAAGTCACTCAACAGCACCGTTTCTGGGGCAGTAGTTGCCAACATCTCATACCGTCACACGTTATTTAACAAGTTGCACAAACTAAGTAAACTAAAAAGAAAGAAAAAAAAAAAAAGAAAAGAGGAGAGAAGATATCCAGAGGCTACAGGATGTATTGGGGCCAGTTATTGAATTATGGTTCTCATAGAATCAGGAGCAATACGTACATACATACACATCCTGTACTAATGTCCGCGGAACTCGTCCGGTTTACACTCCGGCATCATTCTGAAAGCACCAATCTGCACTCTTTTCGACGCAATTACCACCTGCCGATGTTGGTTTATCTGCCCAGTTGCTCATATTTCCGTACCATATGTCCCAGTTCCGGCAAACACGCTTGGCCTCGACAATGGCAGGGCTTTTGTCCGGCCACTTGGCGAAAGCGCCTTTCTGGTCCTCCATTATTTGCATTCCCAAGCCCCTGGAAATATGGAAGGCAATGTGGCAGTGTACAAGCCACGGCCCGGGGTTATCGGCTCTGAACGCGATAACCACGTAGCCAGTGGTATCTAAAAGAACGACATCGCGGCGAGGAGGGTTGTCGAGTTTCAAGCTCATATTCTTTGGATTCCACGTCTTGTTTTCAGCTTGTTCAAGAATGGCAAAGTCATGGCCATGCAAGTGGATCTGCGATGCAGTCAGCGTTCCATTCATCATGTGCTGGGCACGCCTTACATACCGGGTGAGCGCCGGTTGTACGGTTCTGAAGGCTATACCAGACCAGGTAGATCTATCAAGTTTGGTTGGTTAGTTGCTTATTTGCGAGGGAAGCTGTTTTATGCGTCTTCTTACCCATTCACTGTTGGCGTAATTCTCAGGCTGAACCCGCCAGAGTTTAGGCCAGGGCTTGGTATCTTGAGGATTGAGATGGAAAAACGTTGGATCGGAGTAGTTGATACGGATGGATGCTGGTTTGACAGCGTTATCCATGGTGAAACCTGCGACGGGAGAGTCTGTACCGATGAGATCTCGATCGAAATAGACATCAAACTCTTCACCATAGCGCGGGACCACTTCATTGAGAGGCCCGTTGCTTGGAGCTTTGACAGTCCATGGCACGATTGGTATCAAATTATTATATGGTTCATCAGAACACCTCAGCGGAATGTCGGGCCATTTCTTGGTGGAAGGATCAACAGTGCTGGATTTATTATAACGCAGGATGGCAACTTCGGAATAATCTGAACAAGCTGGGACCTTTCTACCAAAGCAGTTTGCAATCTCGGTACGAATCCAATAATTCCCGTTCTTGTCGAGCGGACTAGATGTGTCGCGCGGGCTTGCTTCGACGACTACATCGTAACGCTGGCCGATTCCAACTAGGATGGACGTCGTTGTGTAGGGTTGGATGGGGACAAAGTCGGCGCTGACCACTTGAAGAAGATGGTTATCGATGCTGACGACAAAGGTAGTGTCGAACGACGTGTTGATGACACGCAAAAGATACTTCTTGCACCCTTGCCCTGCGCGTGGGGGTTCAAAGACGATGCTCCTTGCGGGCAGGATGACGGTTGAATTTTTCGTTTGGCCACAGGTGTACTTCGTGATATTTCCACGGCCGTTGAGCAAAATGTCTTGGCCGCCGTCGCTGCCGCCCGACACCACTTCATATGCAGAATTGTGATACCAGTCAGTCAGTATCAGGGGCGGACTGACGGGTTCGTCCCAGCTGGTCGAAGATGGACCGTGGATGGTCAGCGGCCCGACAGAGCCATCGGCATATTGCACAGAGTAGTGACTGTGGTACCAAGAGCTTCCGTACTGCGTCAGAGTGAAGTTGTACACGAAGTAGTCGGCGGGCGCAGTCGGGCATTGCGTGACGCCATTCACGCCATCCATCTGGGTGGTGTTTAACTGACGGATACCCTAATGAAAGAGGCCTGGTAAGTTTTGAACCCTGTATAGTCAACGATTCCTACTTACGTGCCAGTGTACCGAGGTGCCATTCTGCTTCAAGTTATTGGTGACGTTTACGATTAACCTTTTTGCAAGCTTGTCAGCGCCGGTTCCCAAGTCTCAACCACTCGCTCAACGACCACATACCGATCTCCCCAGCATGCTTCAATCCATGGCCCAGGATACTGGTTATCAAACAGCTTAGCTAGCGAAAAGTTCAATCCATCTGCCGCGGTCCAGCTGTCGACTAGATTGATTTTGTAGTGGCGTTCTACTCCTGTCGGCCATGTGTCCTCGTAGTTGGTGTTGATATCAAGACGCTTCCCGTCGGACTTGCGCCGGAGCCAGCAACTGCGGTCTAGTGGACTGGAACAGGGCTCCCACCCTTTCATATTCGGATACGCGCATCGAAGAGTCGAATCTTTTGAGCTACCCGGCGGCGTAAAGCTGGGGTAATCTAATGCTTGGTTGACAGGAGTTACAGGACTGAGAGGCATCTGTGGTTGGGGCGTGTGACCACTCCACGGCAAAATTGAAAGGGAGACGATGGTGACAAAGGATGTCACCATCTCCCAAACACGCTCTATCAAGGCCATTGTGGATTCAACAAGACGGGTTGATGAGGTCAAACTCGTTGAGGGTTGAAGTTGGAGAGAAGGGCATCCCGCTGACCATGTGCTTTAAATATCTTGATCACTAGGACCCTGGCCACTGACCTCATACGTGAAGGCAAACTCGACCAGCGGCCTTGTATATTTTTATTTACGACCTGTCATCTCGACCGCGAGTGTCCCAAGCACCGAGTTCTAGGTGGACATGCACGAACCGACGAGGTTATAGTTTGACCGTCAAGGACATGGAGTCTGATAGACTCCCGATTGATCCGGGCCCAAGACATTCAAGACATTTACCTAGAGCCTGGCTTCTATTTGCGGTAGGTAGCTTTTGAATGCTTTCTCCAACGTCATCTGGAATGTCCACAACACGTCTCGTTTGCCTTTGATGGCTTGCGCCCCATCACGAATGCGGCGACACGAACTCCAGGTTGCATTGACGCCTCAAAATTAACATCTTGGATGGCGGCGAATAGATTTGCGGTATCAAGTATTTCCCTACATGTTTACTCTTTGAGATGTTGTACATCCAAGGCCCAACTAATCATTACAAGTTACCAGCTCCACGCAGAGTTGCAGCATCTTCCACAGAGTTTGCTTCTGCAACAAGATCAAGTTGTGATGGCAGCGCCTGATGGCACCTGTCATACACAAATTAAATAAAATAAAAAGCCAAATAAAAGTTCAGTTCACTTCTACCATGGACGAGAAATAAAAGAGCTCACCAGGGTGCAGAACTTTGGGAGACAAGCACGCAGGCATGGTCATGACAAAATTGAACCTCTACCAGGTCTACATACTTTATAACATGTCGGACAATACAAGTAACTAAATTTAACACTTGCTTTACTTTTTTAAAGGGAACAAGAAGCTCTAAGAGCATCCTGGCCATCTGCTGGTGTAACTGGGTTATGCGTACCTGCCGAATCACCATGAGAACAAACTTGTAAGAGGCAGAAAAAAATTGCTAAATCATTCTCTCACAGCCTAAGAAAATGGCCTTATTGCCCGAACACGCCTGCGCTATTGCCACAGTCCACATGCTGATTGAAATGTATAAAAAACAGGGCTGGGACACAAATATTGGGCAAGACGAGTTTCCACTTGCTGACAGCAACTAGAGCCTTCAGTCTATCGATCATTTACCCCTGTCTGCAATACGAAGACGCAATACGAGTGGCAGATGGATGCTTTGTCAATATTTATCGTGAGAATAATCTTCTTTCGGAGGCCTGCGGGGCCAACAATCAAGTCAGAAAACAAGCATACCAACTACAAGGACATTGCTCAGAGAACTCGCCTTATTGTCCACGTGTTGACGCATATGACGATGGATTGGGCGACAAGAATCATCTACTCCAATCAGCGGTTTCTACTGGTTTATGTAGCCCAAGAGGCTATTTAGCACATGGACATTTACATTCACTGACAGTAGCGATATGTTGTTTCATTTAGGGTTTTCACCGCTTGCTTCTCTCACCCTTTTTTGAATTGAGAAGACGGCAGCATCGTTGGGATAAGTTGAGTTTTATGAAGATGGAGTTACAAATCGTCCATGCCGCTCACTTATGTTACATTGGGATGCTGGCGTCGCTGAATGGAAACACGTTACGATGGCTATAGATGCTAAAGACGGATGCTTGTATTAAACATTATCAACGTACATTGCTCCCTTGTGATTCCTTCACTTCACTCACACCCCAAGGCCATCCGCACAAGTACTCTCTCCCCAGAAACTAGCCAAACCGCAAAACGTTTTGCCTCTTTACCATTGGCCTGATTCCCCCTGGACTTGGATTATTGGCCTGGCCGATTCCACCTGTCGACCTCTCGCCAGTCCGCCGGGATGGCACCGTTGGAAGAAGAGAGTTTCCTCGGCCAGTAGTCTACTTTTCGAATTCCGGGGGCTAATCACTGTAAGCTTCCCGGGATGTTGTTTCACTGTCTGCAGGAGGCTGGCCCGAAGGCTGAGGTGTGAGTAGCGCTGGGCTCACCGGTCCGGCCGCCGCCGCATCTTCAGACCGAGGCTCTAGGGTGAGCTGTTGGCGTTTTTCTGCCTCTGACTTCTTTCTCTTCCTCTTCTTCATCGAGGTCAATAATGCGTCGCGGTTCCGAAGTGCGCCTCTCTTCTTGGGAGCTTGGCAATGCCGCGTTGCGGGCGGACATGCGCAGCTCGTGCAGAAAAGATTAAGTGTGATACTTTTTGACATGTTTACCGGTTGATATTACTTTTTGTGAAATGTATCATCTCACAGCCAACAGGGCGCATTCGGTGCTGGGGAACATGCTCATATAATGGAATCATTCCTCAAAGTGTCGAGTGTCGAGTGCCTCAATGAGCGTTTTGAGATTGTCCGAACCCCGCAAGACGTATTGTTCCGATGAGTTGGCTGCACTCGGCGATCAGGGATGCGAAATGACTGAAGAAGCTGGGTTCAATTGTTGGGCAACTCGGACTCTGTGCCAGGATGCCGTTCCGCTGCTCCAGACATAGTTGTTGTAGAGTTGAACCGACAGGGTGAGGCATAGACGCAGTTTCTCGCAGCCACTCGTTATCCATGGCTTGACTCTTTGCCATTGACATCACCCGTGGGCTGCTTATACCCTTAGTTCGCTGTTAAACAATGTTTTCCACGCAGAAAAAAACGTTGCATGGACTATGTGAAGAGACGAAATCTCACAAAGCCTTTTCTCTTCCTCTCTTCCCCACCCACGCAGCAACAACAGCGATAACATCATGATTAATAACACAACAAACAAACAAATAAGCAAATAATAAACTTTTCGTTTTATTATTTCGTAAATAATAACAACTTTTCGTAATGGCTCCTCAGAGGGAGAACAACAATCGCGGAGGCGGAAAGCGCAGGAATACCGGCCCTCTGGACTCCGAGCTCGTCAACACCTCGCAGAGAGGCGGCGCCCAGGTGAATGTCAAGGCTCCTACGCCTAATTTCCTTGGTAGTGTCACTGTTACCACCTAACAAGGCAACTTCCCGGCGGCCTACGGAGTTGGGATGGGCACCATGTCTGGGCGGCGGGCCAGCGGTGGCCAATGATATCCAACATTTGGCATGCTGCAATCCTAAATAGGAAAGCGGCAGTGCACCCACTTTGTCAACGTCGTCAACACCATCGTGAGACACGAGGGCATGTTGCAGGGTCTGGAGCTTGACCCAGGAAGCCGAAACCCAATCCTTCCAGACCGCTCGTATATTGCAGTCGCCAAGATGCCAGGTTTTGTATAAGAACGGGTAGAGTCAAAGGACTCGTGGCCAAGGCATCTGTGTGTATGGCCGATACCTCTTCACAGAGGTCACTTGCAGCCGGGACCCGTGGGCGCCATGAGTTTTGCCGCATCGTAGTCGCAAATCAGGTTGGAGGCACCATATTTTGTGTGAAACAGATGGCGCATCCCAAGGCGCTGGTGTCTGCATCCGTCCACGCTCACAGAGGCAGGGAACGAATAAGCTGTTCAGAAACGTCGCCAGGCACAACAAGGTCAACAGCGAGCATGTAGAGAATTTCATATTACTTACTCGATGGCCAACAATGGCAAACGAGAGGGATTTCCGCTCCCGTCATGTGGCTCAGGCCACGTCCGGTGCAAGTTTCTCGATTCAAATGGCTTTGAATCATCAAGACGTAAAGCCTTGAATGACTTAGACTAAGTCGTTTAATGTCGACCATGTGATTCGTAACCAGCCGGCACGTTCTCCTAAACAAGTTCCACTTTGCGGCCATCTGTGATCTGTAAGACAAGTGTTATTATTGTTTTCCAACGCTAACAGGATGAGTTGATTCTCCTTTAGGAAGCCGGATATTGAGGCAGCGCTGGAATATTCGGACAATGGTAAACGTAGCTTCCGTGAGAGTAAAGTCCACTGCTTAGATGTGGTTCCGCCACCTAATAAGTTTTCAAAATTATATAGCCGAAAAACGTACTTCCCAGCCAAATCCGCGGTCCACCGCTAAGCGGTAAATATCTACAGTTATGAGCGGTCTTGTCCTTAAAGAGAGACAGGTTCTCATCTTATCTCTCTCTGGCTGGAAGCACTTGGCATCCATGCCATATAGGTCTGGACGGCGGTGAAGCGTATACACACTAAAAGCCACGGGTAAACCTTTCGGTATTAAGACAGGGGATTTTCCTGTCGGGTCCACCACCCACTGGGAGACTAGTAACTATTCTCAATCGCCGTCCTAGTGTTCACTGGCACTAAAGGGTACAACCTAAGCGTTGGCTTGACTATTAGCATTTATACACATATTTTAAAGCCGGGTAATATTACTCTCTTTCAGCGTATTTTACAGATAGTGGATGTTTCGCAAGTGCGTTCTGTTTAATGGGCCTTCCTCATGTTGAGAAATTTCCGTTCGTACCGTGTCCATTGCTCCAGGATGCCGAACAATCAAGGAGCCATACATGGACATTAGTATATATTACATTGAAGGAGGCGTCATGAATAAACTGACGAGGCCCAGGAGAGCAGGCAAGCGGTAGTATCACGGCCAGCAGCTAGAATATTAATAATTTGTCCCCAAACTACTGGTTCTGTCAGGACAGGCTTTCGAAACAGATTTTAAGAAGACTTATCTTGTGTCGGTTGGTTCATCTGATGAGGTGCTCGCAGAAATGTTTTGGTTAATAACCTGATCAGCGAATTCGTGCACTTTACAACAGGCATCGCGGAACTTGGAGACCCCAACAAGCCAGTAAAGATCCAGAAGACGGTATCTCTTGATGATATATATCTGTGCAAGGTCAAATGCTGTCGCCAAAGTCTATTCTTGGCTATTGTCTGTTGACCTCAGACTGTAAATAGACTCCCCAAAGAGAAATGCAGTTGTTACATCCAGTGTAAAGAGAGAGAAAAGTGGCTGAAGGTCGACTACACCACCATTTCGAGGCAATTCACCCAAAAAGTCGTCAATAGGCTCTGCAAAAACCGCAAGATCTTAATATTTCGTTGTACTAGCTGTGGATGGAGTAGGTCTCGCGAGCGCTTCCGGCCTCGCCTTCCTGGGTAAAGATGCCATCGCCAAACATCGGAAAGGTGATTGCTCTCCTAGGGCCAGAGGAACCGTCTAGCTTTTACTTATTAAATATTACTTATCTCTAAATTATATGTTTTTTTTAGGCTAATAACTTTAAGATAAACTTACCCTTAAAATTGCTGGAGAATATTATCTCCAAATTCGTTGGATCAACAGTGCCAAACGCCAGGCTGCGTAGAAATAGTTGCTGCAAGGTATATCCAGTTTGACGGACGTGAAAGAGAAATAGCTCCATAAGCGGAAATTCGGAATCTGCACCGAATATCTGCTCAAGGCGATATATACCTAGTGGCCTCTAATTCTGAAGTATTGGCGGAGGGAGCCACCCATGAGCGGCGGCCAGTTCCTTCAGTATCTTCTGATGGTTTAGCAAGGTACAAAATTAGGCACATCTTTCAACGGTGTCTGGTTAAATCTGACCTTTTGCTTTCGTTTTTGCGCCCACACATCTGCTGATAGGCAGCCAAGCTTACGAAGAATAAAGGTAGCGGATACAGCATGCTGAGTATGGAGTTGGAATGGCACGACGGTTTGAAACTCGCGAGACGATGACATATTGACCGATTTCGGGAAATCTGGGATGTATTTATTTGGTGGTCCACTGATTCGCCACAACCAGGCCTATTGGTAAACTCTTGCCGCCCGGATCAGTCTGCCGACATGAGGCGAACTGCACGTGCTGTAAGATGAGTGTGGGCGGTGAGTGGTTGTTTAACAACCAGCATGAGCCTCAATTCCGCAAGCTTGATGAAAAGAACAATGCAAGCATCACTATTTCCTGCCAATACCTTGGTTTCAGACATTGCGGGTGACGGTTTGCGGCCGGCTTTGACGAAAGTCTGCCGAGGAGACACTCCAATGGTCGAGTAAACTTCTCCAAGAAGGGCCCGACGTGATACAATGGCATGTTGGAAGATGCTGAAATGCTGTTAAAAGAATCTTGCATCCTGACGTACAGCTATCCCCTCGCGGCGCCACTATCTTGAAGGACATGCTCGGACAGGACATTACGACACACCAACACCTAGGTGGCGGAGGGGGTTGTTGATGGAAAAGTCTGAATAACCCGTGAAACGAACATTTCGTAGGCTGCTTTTCTGAAAACAAGGCAAAACTAGCCTTGGAGTCACATGGGATTATGTGGGTTTCTTGCCTTGAGCAGTTGCCCCTAGCCCTCTCCTTTGCCTCTCCGTGTCCGAAAAACAAAAGCATTAACATCTTTCAGTATTTTTGTCCAGCCAACGTGGTTTGGGCCATAGGTAGGACGGCTCCAATCATAGACACTGCTGACCATGCCGGCTTGAGGTCTGATCATGGCAACTTGTGCAAATTTGCCTCCAGGAGCACTCCTAGATATAGTTGGTTCTCGTCCATAATGTATCGCCTCTGTTCCTCAAGGAGCTTGAGAACATTCTTGTCAGGCGGCGTGTCCAACATAGCAAAGCTATCACCATAGTGTGATCCCTATCGTCATGTCAGACGAGTAACAACTAGTCCCAGAGGCCGTAATATAACCCAAAGGACAGCTTACGAGCAAGTGAGCAGCGGAGATGAACGTTTAATTTATATATTGATCGCCGCCCTGGCTTCCCGTCGCAAACTCGGCACGATGCCACAAATCAGCAGCTTGTTACCCGGCAGACTTGGCAGGACGCAACTTACGCTGGTATTACGAGATGCAGCAGAGCCAAACTATAGATTCTGCTCCTTCCACTGAACGCCAAGATTGTCCTCGAGGGCTGGATTAGCGAGATCGAGGGGCCTTAAAGATGTGCAAGATTAATGCTTGAGTCCCGGTCGGGGGGAAATGGTCGGTTTCTCGCGAGATGCCCCGAACATTACGCCACAGCGATGGGATCAAGAGAGAGTCATCTTGTTGTCAATTCGAACAAACGAAGCCGAGGAACTGTATCATGGAACTTGGCAGGATGGATAAACACTTGCCATCTGAGAAAACTTTGCAATGCTGCAGTGCTCTCACGAGGATTCTTTCGTGCTGTCGTTGGGCTTCTGCTTTGTGTTCTGTCACTTAAGACAAGTGCCAGTGTTCTACTTACATTATGGCAATCTATCTCTTGAATAACAAGTTGGCGGAAATCGCGCGAAACGACGGACGGGCATCATTCGTGTGGCGTTGCAATTGCATACAAGTTAGAGAAGAGCATCCGGTGCCGGCCATTCGGGCAAATAACTGCAGTTGATACAGTCATTTCATTCAGGCCGTAGGATGAAAGTTGGTTCCGTCTCGCCGTCCACTACAGACCGACTCTGTGTCACACAAATGACAGGCAAATTTTGGAGACTTTGTTCTGAGTGCCCGTTGTAGCTTTAGTTCTCAGTAAACCTTTGCGGCTTCAATGAGGGTAAAGAAATGGCCTGTGTGGTCTTAAGCAGGCAGACAACGGTTGGTTCATCAAGTGTTGAGTTGTACAGAGTAATAGTTGGTCGTGGGGTGGCTCGCCTCCAACTCGGCACTGGGTTCTCGGAAGGGCGCGGTTGTATTGATCGCTCCTACTTGTTTAGGCATTGAAATCATCTCGTTTCGGCAGCAGCCACTCATGGTGTTGCTCCATGTCCTTTTACAGCCGTCTCCAAGTCGAGAAACATCACAGTCAACAGCTCACGACTTGCAAATATCGTGGAATTCAATACGTCAGTCTTGTAGCCCTATTACCATTCAATGTTGGCCCCCCATTTTTACAACTCTTTTGTGGCTCGCCTTCATTAGGTGAACCCCTGCACGCTCAGCAATCTACACCGAGGGGGCAGAGCAGCGTCGCGTCACAGGAGCATACGGCCATGTTTTGTCTTCAGTGGCAGCAAAGACCCAAGACAGTATACTTTGCCATCATGCGCCATACTCGAATACACTACAGTATTGGTGCCTTGCGAATCTAGCCCAGGTACGCACGGCTACCCTATATCCTCCAGAGTAAGTGAAGCAACGGAATCTCTCCAACGCCTCAACATCCGCCAATATTCATTACTACTGGAATTGCTGTCAGACTCTACTCCTCCATGTGATGAGATGAGATCTAGATTCGCACGAGAACAGCTGGAACAGCTGACCAAAGGCAGCAGAGGGCGGCAATTCCCATCGAGTTGCCATTGTTGCCAACAAACAACGCGGGCATAAGGATGGCTTGGCCTGTATCAAAGAATAGTATGGCGTGGGTCCAATATCATGCGAAGGGATTGACGAGACCCTCGCGTTTCCAAAAAAAAAAAAAAATCGTAAATGAACAATGGCATGAGGGGCCATGAGGGGCCAATTCTCAGCACACCAACTTACACACGCATCATGATGTAGTGTCCAAACATGCAAAGGCAACATCTACAACATGAAACGTAGAAGCCGTCAAATGTCAGCTAGTACCATTGCTGGCCTCAGCAGACAGTTTTGGGGTCCGTCCACGTTAGATGACTGAAACCAAAGGGGCAGCAGTTGCCAGTTGGATGTGGAGCCGGATTGGCTGTGACTTACGGAGTACTCGAGGGCGGCTCGAGTTTGGTGTTGTTGAAACAAACCCATCGACTAGGTATTGCCAGAATGCATAAAATGTCCCCAGCACCATGTGCATGAATGTCTCGAGGGAGCATGGAAGAAGAACCAACAGCCCGGAGCCAACACGGCAGAGGCATAATATTTCCCAACCAACGAGTGACAGGCACAAAGGCGCCGCAAGGACCAAGATTTGGTTCAAAAGTAAAGTGCTCCGGCTACGTCGAATCGACCCAAGATGCGCCAGAGATTTTAAAGCAAGCAAGACAGCCGGTAGACTACGGAGTACTCCGTACGGAACAAGTTCTTCCATTGTTGTGCATTATGCCCTGCCAACCTGGGCCTAGTATTTGTGAGCCTCGTGGTGATTGATCAAGATTCTCGTATCCTACTTAAGTATGCATCAACTCAGCCAACTCCTCCGCAACACAATGCACTACATATGTACAGAAGGAACGGATTGCCTCTTGCAGGGGCCAAGCCGAGGTGTAATTTGACGAGCGCTCAATGCTTGTCTAGCGTGCGAATGAGTTTTGCGCGATGCAAGTCAACTGGTGGTCCGGTAATAATTTTTAAAATGAGCAAGCGGGCCGGTCAACTAGGATTGGACGCGCATGCTCATCCCCTCTTCCATGAAATAAGCCGTCAGCCGTCTTTTTCCATGCTGTACTACTCCGTACGGAGGAAATAGAATAGGATGGGCTATCGGCAAAAAAAGAAAAGCGACTCATAGTGGTGCTGCAATACCGGTATTTTGGGGTCACCCTGCATTCCACAGGAATCGACTTTGACAGTCGTGGGTCTGAACCCGTTCCCATCAAAACTGTAAGACCAGACACCACCAAGAAAGGAGTTTATGCTCCGTTCCTGCATGTGTGGATTGAAATGGAAGCTGTAAAAAGGGCAACTGATCGATTACGGTTCTCGGCCGCGCACCAGTGGTGCTGCTTTTGGACGGGGTTGAACAGGGCTGCTGCAAGTCATCGATGGCACTCTTGACCAGACGTATGCAACGCAGCGGGCCTGTCCGCATGTCCTCATGTCCGCATGCAGATGCTAGTATTAAGTTAGTGTAGAGCACGTTCGCGTCGATGGCGCCTTGGTTTGCCTTTAGAGTTCAGGGACGAGTCCGACGGCAAGGGTCCAGCTCTGCATGTATGTAAACTGTTGTGGCATATCAGTTCAATCTACGGAGTAAAGGCAAATCAGGCTGGTTCGTACCACGTGCGGTCATTGGATTGCCTTGTCGAACACTTTGACTCTAATTCAAATCCAAATGCTCAGTCCCACCGATCGCACATGTTCGCGGAGCACTAGCATAATTCAGGTAGTAACCAAAAAAGATCATCTTGGAAGGCGGCGCGGGTGTGGTGGCATGAGCAGATGCACCGACCAGAAGCTAGAGCCAGATGGTCTTGAGAAGGAGGGCAGATTAATATTAGCAGCAGAGACAATGCAACATGGTGATGAAGAGGGCGAGTGGGCGTCTCGTCATGGAAGGGACAAAAGCCAGGGTCAGACCAGATGCGGCCCGGCCAATCGTGTTGCCCCTGGCGCCTGGTCATTTTGTCCCTGTCGCCAAGGCCAGACGCCACGACCCCAGCCACTCGTTGCCTCGCTCCAGCTGAGGGCCAGGTGCTTGCCAGCTGCGAACTGCCAACTGCCAAGCACCCAGGTATCTAGGTACAACTTTTAAGGTTGGAATTTTGCACTGCCCGCCTTGTACTCCGTACTCCATGCTAGAACGGACGCAGCCTGAGCTTACAACATCAAAGGCAGCATGCGACAGGCCACAGACGACGCACGAGTGCAGGCGGCCTAGGTTTGGACCTTACGGAGTAGTGTCAGCGCCTTTGGTTTGGACCAGGCAGGCTCTTTGTGTGAATGGACCTGATTGTCTGGGCTTTCCAGCTTGCGGAACGCTCAACATGAGGACGGCTCGAGGTTTCTGGAAAAAAAAAAAAAAAGGCCGATTTAATATTTTGAATGTCCATTCTTGGATTCATCTGGTGTTGCACGCTTGGACAATGGCCAACGCCGTGTTTATTGTTCTGGGAGTACCAAGTACTCACGCAGGTATATGTACTTTGTACGGAGTACCACAAGAGTCGGGTTGAGCTGCGGAACACCAAGTACGGAGTACTAGTGTGTCTTGTCTGGTCTATTGTAAAAGTCGACCGGCTTCAATTCAAAGCTGCTGGCTGCCGCCCGCCTACCCCCTGCTCAATGCCCCAGCCTTTTATTATCACTTACCAAGTACGGAGTATGGAGCACGCTTAAGACGTCCCACCGCAGCCACCCCCGGCATACCAGCCAACCAGCCCACCTAGCGAGGCTTGAAAGCGGCCCTCTAGAGATCCTCAGCGCCTGTTATACCTCCCTGGCCCCCCGTAGCGGGCGACCCCAAGAACTTGACTTTGGAACATTGAACCTCCGCCACACTCGCTCCCTCACGCACATCTCGATACCCAAGGGAGCAATCGTCGGTCGATCGCCTCACCTCTCCCTCAGAAAAACAACACTCGACGTTCCTGTCGCTCCCCGACGGTCTGCCTTCGACTTCCCGATTCAGTCGCTACCTACATCAACCTTGAACCATTTCAACGTCGTTGCAGCGTCTGCGCGATACGCGTCTTCTCAGCCTGACATTTCTTACCCCCGACCAGCCTGTGCCCGTCAGTTTCCGTCTCGGCCTCCGTCTCGGACCCGTTGAAGCACTCTCGACAGGAGCTGCACCGCACAGCAGCAATCTGATTGCTTTCAATTCGAGTTGCAACTCTGCAGTTGAGCGAACCTCGGAATTCGCCCACCGCTCAGCGCGCCATTTGGTCCAGTCGTATCCCGATCAACCTGCGACGACGCTGAGCCCAACTGTGCCAGTCCCGGTGCCCCCCATTCCTGAATGCGACATTTGACCGCTCTACAACACCACCTGCAGTCAAAATGGGGTCGACCGACTTTGGAAATTTCAACGTACGTCCTCTGTGCTTTTGACTTGGGAATCAATCGCAATTGTGCTCTGGACTAACAAACCTTTGCAGGACTTCTGCAAGGACTCCACCTTGCCAGTGTGTAACGTGAGTCGACTTCCGACATGCCAGGCCATCTCATCTCATGAGCTTCTCCATGGCCCTTGAATAGCAAAAATCCCGACTAACGTGTGCTGCCTTCTAGCTGTTCTCAGGACCGAGACATGACCAGAATGGCCCCTGGGGAGGATGCCAACTCACTGGAATCCCGCTGAGCAACAACCGTCACCTGGCTAATTTGGGCTCAATCATTCTCTGTGGCGCCGCCATTGCCACTTCACTTGTCCTGTTGCTGCGATCCGAGAGGAAACGGGCGGCTGTTGGTCGCAGGTGAGGACGAGCATCCCCCTTATTGCCTTGGAGGCCTGGACATGTCACTAATATCGGACCTCGGTAGGGAAATGCAAGTATTCCTAGCTGGGTACATCATCATTAGCATATGCGAAATCTTCTCCGTCGGTGGCTTCCCCCTAAACCCGACTGCTCGAGTGGTGCGTGTCCAAGTCAACCCCTTTCAACGTGTCAAGCAGTCAAGCCCATCATTGCTAAACAACCTCGCAGGTCTTTAGTGCCATCCACATTGGCATGATTATTGCTACAACTTGGATTCTGATGCTTAATGCTGTCATTGGCTATCAATTAATCGACGATGGAACCCCGCTCTCCTTGGGACTGCTCATTGTTTCTGCCGGCGTCTTGTTTATTGGAACTGGATACATTGCGCTCGACACCGGTCTCAAATGGACTGGCTACTGGAATAGTAGCTACGATGCTCCTAACCGAAACATTGCTCTCTACGTCTTGTACCAGCTCATCCCTCTCATTTTTCTTGTCGCCTTTTTCGTCCTGGAAGCAATCTTGGTCCTTCGCGTGCTCGGCGAGATCCGACCCATGATCTATCTGACCGCCGCTGCTTTGCTTTTTGCCATTGGCCAAGTCTTCAACTACGCCATTAGCAGATTTATTTGCGACGGTACCAGCGGTGGGATTGACGGAGCCTTGTTCGAGACACTATTCACTCTGCTCTCCGTCGTTGCTGTGTGGATTTTCTGGTCCAGCATTACCGAAGACGACTGGCCAATGCAAACCGGCGCCTCATACGACTAGTACGCTGGCGGCATTGTGTCTTTGGTTAGGTGTTCCCATTATCGGATACGGCGTTACAACGGAGGAAGCATTGTTTTATCCAAATTTTATGTTGACCATATTCTATTTCTCTCGTTTTTAAAGATCGACGACTTAATTATTAGTCAGACAACGGAAACATGTTTGATGGAAAGTACGACGACACTTATACTTAGTTTATTTTTTGTCTTTTTGGAGGGGCAGGATTGGACTGTCGAAAGCATCCGAGTTTTTTTGTCTGGGCCAACGCTCCTCCGGGTATGACGACGAAGTGATTGGATATTTTAGAAACGGACGTGCTTTACGCCGCCTTGTCCCCGAGAGACGTCAAATCCACAGACACTGTGGACAAGGGTCGGGCTGGGTGGAGTGATGTAGAAGAGACGTGTTGGTTTGAAAGATGCAAGCGAGATGGCGAGAAAGACGACGGCTGGATCAGGTTTCGTTCGATGAACCATGGTGAATGCATTGCTATTTGCCTGGCATGTTTGCTGCGGCCGCTTTAGATGCAAATTCCATAATATACCCCAATGTAACGACTTAATGCATATTAAAGTCTCGAAGCAAGATGTCGTTGTGCGTGTCCTGTGTTTGTGAAAGTGGCAGATACACCAGCCAGACTTACTTCCTGGTGCTGTCATTGGCCGGTTTGGAGCTTGCCATTTTGGTGGAGTTGCTACGAGGCTGCAGCTTCCACATGCTAGCCTCGCCCTTTTCATCGCTCTTCATCACAACATTGGCCGCTCCCAACGCAACCTCGAGAGGGCAACAAATTCAGGTTAGGAAAACTTGAATCTGCTTTCAAGGTACACAAGGGAAAAAAAAATTCGATTGCGATCCGGTAGCATCGGTTCCAGCCCGCCATGGCCGACTCTGACGGCGAGTTTGTCGCCGACATGTCGGACGATGAGCTCGTCGATCACCAGGTCACCGACGACGAGGCCCCGTCGGCTCGCAGTAAATCGTCTCGGCCGAAGCGAAAGCAGAAAAGAAACGGCGAGCAGGCTTGGGAAAAGTCAAAAAGATCGTGGGAAACGAATTTGCCCGAGGAGGATCAGGATGGCATCCTCAACCTAACAGTGTTGGAAGCGGAGAAGCGCCGGCGGCTGATGCGTGATACGACGCCTCTTCAGCGAGGTATTATACGGCACATGATGTTGGTGCTCGACATGTCATTTGCCATGGCGGAGAAGGATTTGCTTCCCACGCGGTACAGGCTGACCATCAGCTACGCACTAGCGTTTGTCAGGGAGTTCTTTGAGCAGAATCCCATTTCGCAGCTGGGGATAATTGGCATGAGGGATGGCGTCGCTGTTAGAATAAGCGACCTGGGTGGGAATCCCGCAGAGCACATTGAACGCCTAAAGGCAGTCGAGGGGCAGGATCCCCAGGGAAACCCTAGTTTGCAGAATGCGCTGGAGATGTGTCGCGGTGCACTCTTGTGAGTCCCCTCTGCAGCAACGTCCACGGGGAGAGAAAGGGAGGGGTCGTGAGTTGACGCTATACTGACTCTGTCTGATTACAGTCACACGCCTTCGCACGGAACCCGGGAAGTCCTCATCATTTACGGCGCTTTGTTGTCGAGCGATCCTGGAGATATTCACGAAACCATCTCCAACCTCATCGCAGACAAGATTCGAGTTTCCATCGTCGGCCTGTCGGCCCAAGTCGCCATTTGTGCCGACTTGTGCTCCAGGACCAATGCAGGGGATGACTCCCAGTACAATATTGCCATGGACGAAGTTCACTTTAGAGACTTGTTCCTTGCTGGCACCACGCCACCTGTGACAAGGACGGCGGAGCAAAACACGGCGAGCCTGCTGATGATGGGATTTCCCTCACGGACGCTCGCACCAGGCGGAGCTATTAGCTTTTGCGCCTGCCACAGCAAACCTCTCAGGGAGGGATATAATTGTACGAGGTGTTCGGCGCGTGTCTGCCGATTGCCTGCTGAATGCCCAGCCTGTGGACTCACACTGATTCTATCCACGCACTTGGCTCGATCATATCACCATCTCTTCCCTCTACGAAACTGGGTCGAGGTGTCGTGGGCAGAGGCCACAAGATCAACCGTCTGCTTCTCATGTTTATGTCCCTTTCCCGAACCGCCAAAGGACAAGATTGACGGGGTAGAAAAATCCAAGGATGACACTCGCCATCCAAAAGCTAAAGGAGTTAGCGAAAGCGGGAGGTATGCCTGCGAAGTATGCGGCAACCACTTTTGCATTGACTGCGACGTCTTTGCGCATCAAGTCATTCACAATTGTCCGGGATGCCAGAGCACCGTCCACCATGACGTCTCTGCGACAGTCAACGGCAACGGTTACAGTCACCAGACAAACGGGGCGATGGAGGTGGACACCTAGGCAGATTGACCCTTCACTCGGGGAAATATCTGGAGAGCAGAAGAGAGGTTTTTTTCTATTTTTGAATTTACAATAGCATGGGTTACCAAGCGACATAAATTCCGGTTTGTAGTATAACCGAGGGGATAGGGGAAGGTAAAGATCTTTGGAAACACGCCGACCACGGATGGCTTTGATATTCACTTAAAAGGACGGCGCACCTCGGGACTATTTTGTATACTTTTGGTCATTTCCACTTTTTTTTATTGAGAAAAAAATTGGACTATGGAGTTTATTTCCCCCTCGAATAGCGGCTGATGGAACCGCAACCAGACACGTAAAATATAAGTAGACTCAACCAAGGCGACAGACATGTTCGTCGTAGGCTCATTCCATGCATGCGTGATTAATAAGACGATGACTCCTCCCGGTAGAAAAGGCAAAATAAAAAAAGGGGGGGCACCCGATGACAAAAAGTCCAACAGTGAGCCCAAACGACAGAATACATGCTTGCCATTGTTTTGCTCCACTCTTCTTCTCCCAACTTCTCATCTCTCCAACTTTATAGGTTTCCTCTCTCAGCCTGCTCACGCTCAATGGCCTCAAACAGACTCTTGAAGTTGCCAGCACCAAAGCCCTCAAACTCATTGCGCTGAATAATCTCAATAAAGACAGTGGGACGGTCCATCAGCGGCTTGGTGAACAGCTGCAGCAAGTAGCCGCCCTCGTCGTAGTCGATGAGAATGTTGAGGCGCTGAATGGTGTCCAGGTCCTCCTTCAGCTCCCAGTTGCGCTTCTCCGTCTTGAGGCGCTGGCGCATGGTGTCGTAGTAGGTGGTGGGGACGTTGATGAACTCGACGCCGCGGGCGCGGAGGGCGGTGACGGCGTCGATGATGTTGGGCGTCAGCAGGGCAATGTGCTGGACGCCGGGGCCCGAGTTGAAGATGACGTACTCCTCGATCTGGGACTTCTTCTTGCCGGCGGCGGGCTCGTTGATGGGCATCTTGACGAGGTTGTTGGGCGAGGCCATGACGATGGAGGACAGGGCCGAGAACTCGGTGCAGATCTGCTTGTCGTCGACGGACCAGAAGCGGTGGAAGGACAGGCACTGCTCGTAAAAGGCGCAGGCTGACACCATCTCGTCCCAGTCCTGGTTGCCGACGCAGTGGTCGACGCGGGCGAGGCGCACGTCGGGCAGGGTCACGCTCGCCGTCGACTTCTTGCCCTCCCGGAAGCCCGGGAGGAAAGGGCCCGAGTAGGACCCGCGGCTGATGAGCGTGTGCGTCGTGTCGCCGTAGGTGCGGATGACGGCCGTCGTGACGGAGCCGTGCTCGGCGTCGTGGAGGCGCTGGGGGCCCTGGACGGCGACGGCGCCCTCCTTGACGGCCTTGTGATACACGCCCTCGACATTGTCCACCTCAAAGGCCACGTCCTTGACGGCGTCGCCGTGCCGCTCCAGGTGGGCGTACATGTCGAGGAGGAGCGTCTTGTCCTCGGGGCTGATGGGCTCTTCGGGTCCCAGGTGTGCTGCCGACCGCAGCGGCGACGTGAAGACGAAGCGCACGTCGTTGTTGCCCACCACGTACGACGCAAAGTAGCGGCTGCCCGTCTCCAGGCCGCGGTAGGCAATGTGCTTGAAGCCAAAGAGGTTGACGTAGTAGGCCGCCGCCTGCTTGGCGTTGCCAACCCACCACGTTACGTGGTCGTAGCCTGTGAAGTTGCCGGCCTGAGGCTGGACGACCCCCGAGTCGACGGGTCGCTGTTGAGGTGAGACTGCTGAAGGAGCCATCTTCTGTCTGGTCCTTTTGTGTGTTTGTGTGCGTTGATGTTGATGATGGGTGTTGTTGTTGTAGGTTGTGTATGTTGTGTAAGATGGGTGTCAACCAAAGGACACAATGGACTCTTCCCAGCGTCACAGAAGAAGAACCCCGGGTATCTACACTGCTTCTAAGAGAAAGAGCGAGGAAGAAGACAAAACGTGGGTAGTCACGGAGACAAGGCTGTGGCAAGGGGTGCGTGCGTGCGTGCGTGCGTGTTTGTGTGTGTAATGGAATGATCTGTATGTCATACCAAGACAAAAAAACAAAATTAAGGAAAAGTAAAAATCAAAAAGATGCCAAGGGGTGTGTGGGAAGGGCAACTCCTTTAATATGGAATCCCGTCCCATTCCATCACAGCGAGACAGAGGTTGGCACGCGGTTCTTAATTCACATACCCGAAGTGGCCGTAAGCTTTTCTCCGTAGTGCGTAAGATGTATCCTCTCGCGCAAGATTGGTCTGTCTTCGGACGGCCGCCCTTCCCCCCGGAAATCGCCCGCACATGGCATCTCACGGTCTAAGTAAAGGGTGCTTGGTGGATGCCAGTGCTAGGCCGCCGAGATTGGGGTGGCGTCTTTTGGGGGACAACCAGATCGGGGCCCGGCAGGGAAATCATCTTGTCTCAGACCGGGACATTGGGGCCCTTGTGGCGGAGCCAGCGGGCCAATCTTTGGGTTTCTGTTGCTTTTCCGGACTGCTGCGTACGGACGCATCTGAGAAGCCGGACATGTTGTTTGCTGCCCTTCTGTTGTTACTCGGTGTTTGCCCGCGGTATACATGCAACGATGCTCATGTGCAGGGACAATGGGCCGATGGACGTAGCAAATACTCGGGTGCGTATTACAAGTGACATGATCTGGCCCATGCCCCAAAAAAAAAAAAAAAAAAAACCATGGACGCACTTGCAGCCATCCTCGCCCTGCCATGAGGCTCAGCCTGGGCCGTGAGCCGCTCCTCCACATCCGAAGCGGCCCCTCCATCTTCGGCGGCAGAGCCGACCGCCGTCACGGCACGATTCCGCACGGCGGGCTTGCAGCCGAAGTAAGCCGCCTGTTGCCGGCCCACCTGGAGTCTGCCATTCTCGCCGTCGTCATGCGACTCATGCCTCTCTGATCGATGCGACCGTCGACGGCATTCTCCACATCTACTGGCGCATGGCGGGGAACGGAAGGGCGATGAAAAAGCAGGTAGTTTTTCGATGCCACTCCTTGAGTGTGTTGGTTGCATTGACGGTCCACATGGCGAAGCTGTCCCGGCTTTGAGGGAGTTCCGCTCTTGCCGCTGTTGTGCGAACTTTGAGATGGTATCCCGCACGTCCACGATCGGCTCATTGAACCCGGTTTGCCACTGACGGTATTCAAAGTGTCTGCATCCCACCTGGCCTTGGTGCTGGATGTATTTTTTTTTTTCTTTTAAGAAAAAGGAAAGGAAAAAGGAAAGGAAAAAAGAAAGGGGAATCTGGCTGAGAGTAGCCATACAGTGCCCCTCCGTCAACCCGCATATCTCTTTACTCACGTTACCAACCCGAACCGAAATAAGAGTCGGACATTCACCGCACTTCCAACTGCAACGCAAATACCATGGCCCATGTCAATCTGAGCACGCGAGACGTCAACGTCCTCGAAAAGATCAAGGACCCCGAGTCCAACCCGGCTGCTGGCGTCATCACCGACGAGTCGTTGCCCCGCGACCCTCACGTCACCAACTCGGCCGACTATGACAAGGTTGTGCAGCAAGAGCGCAACATCATTGCCAAAATCCAGGCCCTGGAGACCGAGTTCAGCGCATCCCAATCACAAGATGCAAACGAAGTAGCCATACAGGGGTATCAACATTGCCTTGCCGAGCTAGACACTCTCATTTCAGAATTTCCCAAGTACGCCAGCGCTCGGAATAACCGCGCGCAAATCACCAGACGGCTCTACGGAGACGCCATGCTGCTCGAAATCACCACCGGCATACCACTGCCACTGATTGAGCAGCCCGACGCCACGGAGAAGAAGAAGGCAGCCGTCCGCGCCCTACAAGACCTGGAAACATCCATCTCTTTACTGTCGCCGGCTACCCTGTCGACTCCCATCTCGCCCCAAGCAGCACGAACCTTGTCCATGGCGTATACGCAGCGCGCGGCCATCTACCTCCGCACGTCCAAGCTGCTGTCCGACCGACTGCTGCATATCGACGAGAGTCGAGCCGAGGCCAACTGGAATCGCGTCGAGTTTGAGCAGGCTGCCTCGCACGACTTGGCGTATGGTGGTCGCTATGGTAATCAGATTGCAAAGGGGCTGGCTGTGAGCGTCAACCCGACAGCCAAGCTATGCGGACAGATTGTTCGGGAGGCCATGAAGAAGGAATACGGGCCATCTTTTGATGCGTAGAGAATTTCATTGAGCAGGAGCTAGAACAAGAACAAGAAGAAGAAAAAGTGCAAGAAGCTCTGACTTATTGCCCTAGGGTATTTATTGGAGCGTCGGATTAGGGTCATTTGCTAGGGTTACATCATAAGCAGGCGTTTAATTGATTCCAGGCTGATGCGAAAATCATGCCGTTTTCTTGGACAAGCCGATACGCCTGAGGTGATCTATCAGCAATGTATTGATGCCAAAAATCGTTTGCTCCTCTACATACCGTAAGCCGTTGTCGATGGTCTGTTGGGTGGTGTACCCCTTGGCCTTTTCCTCCCGATTGATGCGCATGGCCGCAGCTGATATGCCAATAAAGACGGCAAAAATGGGGTCAGCGATCTTTGAAATGATGTACGTAGGTGCAGGCATCGTGACAATCTCTGCGCGAGTGCAGCAATGGTCTCTGAACGAGGCTTCGGCCTGGGCTGTCAGGAGTAGAAGCTGGCTGTACTGTGGAGTACGTGGAGTGTGAAGCTTGCACACCATTGGCCCCAGATCCGCCAATCATGACACACAGCACCTCAAGCCCAGGTCAAAAATTCATCACGTGATATAGCACATGCACTCGCTTGCCCCAAATTTGCCAAACCCACAAACCCCAAAATTTGCACTGGAATTTCTTAGGTCCACGGTCCACGACGTCGAAACCCTCCCCCAAACTAACCACAATCCCGACCACACAGCAGGACAAAATGAAGTTCCTCAAGGTCGGCCGAGTCGCCATCATCACCCGTGGCCGATATGCCGGCAAGAAGGTACGATTTGAAAAGAAGACACAGAATACACACAGCGTCTCGT